GTGGTAGTAATAAGCTAGTACTGGTGATTGGTTGAGAAACACGTGGTTATAAGCGCCATTTTTAAAAATTCGACACTGGCGCCTCTAGTGAATGGCCGGAAAATTAGAGGACTGTTTTGATGACGTAAACCAAGTGGCCGCAGCATGATATTAGATTTTTGCTCGGAAAGTCGTAAATCGGAATGATTGACGTTTCTCGTGGTTTCCACACAAGTGCGCAACGGATCAGGCGCAGACCGCCGCCCCCAGCATCCCTTACAAGGTTGACACAAAAGGTGGGCTCACTGCGTATGAAAATCGCTGCTATGCTCCCGGACAAACCTATTGCAACTTTTAACAACAAATTTTACACTGTAACAAATTTTCGCTCTTTTTCCTGACAGCAAACTCTTGTTTTTTTAATTTTTGGGGGACGCAACCACCCTCGCTCTTCCACCTTGCTCTTCAATTGGGGGTGTTGAATCTAGTTAGCGATGGCATTATTTGTGTCAGTGTTTAAGGTTCAAGCAGACGATCAAAGTGCACCCGTTATTTTTAAAACGAGTCGCTGTAAGTATGGTAATTTTAGCTTTTTTGGCTATTTTTGGATTTCGGTGGGTTAATGATTTTTCCACGAATGTGACTTTTGGGGAGGATTAATTTTAAACAGGAAGGAAACTTCGTGGGGACACACCTCCTCTGAATAAGTAAATCCGTTTATTTCCTGTTTGGAGACTGAAATCGAGACAGTGGCGGAACAACGGTTTTTCCTAGTGTTGGAGTTATTATTATTCATGGTTGAATGTCTTTATAGTGTTATCAAAGGTCGTTTTTTTTATGTCTGTGTTGTATTTTTTTATATGCATTTATTAGCCTTTACAGTGTTTATCTTCAATAACAATAGTGGTATAACATTATTGTTTTTATCGACCATATGTACTTTGTAATTATCGCACACATATACACCTCGCGATAAAAATTAGTATTCGCTAAACATATGAGTTATCTAATATTTATCTACATTTGTCTGGAATAAAGTTATGGGTGTTTGGTTAAGCTCATCATTATTTTTTATCAAATTAAAAAAAAATTTAATCGAGTTTCGTAATAGAACTAGTAATTTATGTTTTCAAGATTGGTAGCCATTTCAAATGTCACTGTCAAATAACAAAAATAAACGTCAAAAAAATCGCTCTAAACATTTTTACCGTATATTATACGTATATTAGGTTGTGTTCAAAAAAGAATATTAAGAATGCGAGCGCAGCGAGCACGTTTAGGTGTTATTAAAAATAATTCTTCAGAATCGAAATACTGAAAATTCAAAAACCAAAAAAAAAAAACAAAAATGTCGAGAAAGTTTAAAAATGGAAAAATCCAGATGTTGGGAGATCGGAAATTCGGAAGTTTGAAAAACTGAAAACTTAAAAAATTTAAAAATTGGGAAAACGGACAGTCAAAAAATCAGGAATTTTAAAAATCGATAAACTGAAAAATTGATAAATTCAAAAATCCAATAATCGAGAAATCAAAACATCAAAAAATTGAAAAATTTAATATTAAAAAATTCGAAAAATAGAAAAATCTCAAACACGAAAGACTGAGAAATCAGAACAAAAAATTCAAAAATCTTAAGGTAAAAAATTTGGAAAATAAAAAATCCAAAAACTGAGAAAATGTCGAAAAACTGTAAAATCAGGAAACTGAAAAATTTAAAAACAAAAATTCGTAAAATCGGAAAACCTAGAATATGAAACATTGAAAAATGGACAAATCGAAAAATCTTAAATTTAAACAATCGAAATCGAAAAATCTCCAAACTGAAAATGTAGAAAAATAGGAAAATCCAAAAATCAAAAAGCCAAAACATCGAGTAATTTAAAAATTAAAACACTGAGAAATCGAAACATGAAAAGATCGAGGAAGTGAGAAATTGAAAAACAGAGTAATTGAAATAAAACAATCGAAAAATCATATCAGAAAACGGAAATTTAAGAAATCAAAAAATGAAAAATTGAAAACCTAAAATTTGAAAAATCGAAAATTTATTGAAAAATTGGAAAATCGAAAAACTGAAACATCGAAAAGTCGACAAATCGAGAAATGGGAAAATGAAAACAACTGAGAAATCGACAAGTCGAAAAATCTATTAGTCGAGAATTCGAAAAATTAACAAATCGAAAACTTACAAATGCCAAAAATTGAAAATTTATAAAATGGAAAAATTTAAGATTTAAGAATACGAAAAATTGAAAAGTCGAAAAACCTCAAAATCCAAAAAACGAGACACTGAAAAATCTTAATTGAAAAATCCCAGAATTGAAATGTCGAAAAATTGGAAAATCCAAAATTGTAAAAATCAAAAAGCAGAAAAATCTGAAAATTGAATAATTGAAAAAGCAGAAAAATCTGAAAATTGAATAATTGAAAAATTGAAACATTGGGAAATCGACACATGAAAAGATCGAGGAATCGAAATAACCCAAAGAAAAAATTAAAATTGAAAAATCGAGAACTCGGGAAACTGAACAATCAGAAAATGGAAACATCCGATTTTCGATAAATCAAGAAATATTAAAAAACTGAAAAATTTTTAAGCGAGAAGTCGAAAATTCGAAGACCAAGAAATCGAAATATCAGAAAATTTGAAATCGAAAAATCTAAAATTTCAAATCAAAAATTGAAATATTAAAAAAATCGAGTAACTGAAGAATCAAAAATTGTAAAATCCAAAAAATATATTACCAATTTTAAAACAAAAATTCGTAAAATCGGAAAACCTAGAAATTGAAACATTGAAAAATCGAGCAATCGAAGAATTGAAAAACTAAGAAATAAAAAAGTCCATAAATCGAAAATTCGAAAAACCGCAAAATCGAAAATTTAAAAAATTAAAAAATTGAAAAATCAAAGATTCGAAAAATTGAAGATTTGAAAAATTGAAAAACTAAAAAATCCATAAGTCGCAAAACCAAGAGTCCGAGAAATCGAGAAATGGGAAAATCAAAAAACCCAAAAATCGATTAATCGGGAAATCGAGTATACGAGAAATTGACAAATCGAAAATCTATAAATGCCAAAAATTGAAAATTTGAAAATGAAAAAAAAATGGAAAATTTAAGAAAACGGAAAACTGAAAAATAAAAAAAAAACGAGAAGTCGACAAACCGAAAAATCTTAAACTTAAACGATCGAAATCGAAAAATCTCTAAACTGAAAATGTAGAAAAATAGGAAAATCCAAAAATCAAAAAGCCAAAACATCGAGTAATTTAAAAATTAAAACACTGAGAAATCGAAACATGAAAAGATCGAGGAAGTGAGAAATCGAAATAGTCCAAACGAAAAGTTAAAAATTGAAAAATATGAAATTTAAAAAATTTGATATATCGAAAAATTGAAACATTGAATAATCGGAAATTGGAAAAGTCGGGAAATCAAAACATCAACAAATCTAAAAACTGAAAAATCGAGAAATGAGAACACCAAAAAAATTGAAAAATTTAATAATCGAAGTATTGAAAAATCTAGAAATGGAAAAATCTAAAATTTAAAATGTCAGATAGTTAAAATGTCAAAAAATTGAAAAATAGATTAATTGAAATAAAAAAAATCAAAAAATCATATCAAAAAATTAAATTGTCGAAAAACGGAAATTTAAGAAATCAAAAAATTGAAAAATTAAAAACCTAAAAATTTGAAAAATCGAAAATTTATTGAAAAATTGGAAGATTTTGAAAATCGAAAAACTGAAACATCGAAAATCGACAAATCGAGAAATGGGAAAATGAAAATACCGAGAAATCGACAGGTCGAAAAATCTATTAGTCGAGAATTCGAAAAATTAACAAATCGAAAACTTACAAATGCCAAAAATTGAAGATTTAAAAAATGGAAAAATTTAAGATTCAAGAATACGAAAAATTGAAAAGTCGAAAAACCTCAAAATCCAAAAAACGAGACACTGAAAAATCTTAATTGAAAAATCCCAGAACTGAAATGTCGAAAAATTAGAAAATCCAAAATTGTAAAAATCAAAAAGCAGAAAAATCTGAAAATCGAATAATTGAAAAATTGAAACATTGAGAAATCGAAACATGAAAAGATCGAGGAATCGAAGTAGCCCAAACAAGAAATTAAAATTTAAAAATCGAGAAATCGAGAAACTGAACAATCAGAAAATTTGAAATCGAAAAATCTAAAATTTCAAATCAAAAAATTGAAATATTAAAAAATCGAGTAATTGAAGAATTAAAAATTGAAAAATCCAGAAATTGAAAAATTGAAAATTCGAATAATTTAAAGGATCAAAAAACTGAAAAATCTCACAACTGACATTAAAAGATTGAGAAATCGGTAGAGTCGAGAATTGAGTACCTGTTAAAAATTATATTATCAATTTTTGATTTTTATTCCAAAAATATGGTTGTCTAGGATAAAAATTCAACACAGAAATATATTCTGGGTGTTATTTCGGGCAGTTTCTCGTATTTCAGGGGGCGTAAGATTAGTTTCACAAATTGTTAACAATAATTTATTATTGTGAAAATTTAAGCCTCCAATGTTACATTTGTTACACCAACCGCGACAAAATTCCCCAAAATTTAAAATTCTAATTTTTATTTACTCGTAAAAGTAGAAAGGAGGTGTCAACTCGAAAAAATAGTATAAAATAATATATGAAGAATTATTAACTCAGCACGCTTCTGTTCCAAGTCCGTAAATCTTAATACAAGTATTAAGCAGATTACTTAGAGGTGGGAGCAAGAAAACTTATCCAAAGACCGCATAAAAACGGGTGGCTCGAAAGCCTGCTAAGAAGCGGCACGCATAAACTGCGGCTCTTCTTTGGAGCAAGCGGCACATCCAATTCAAATAATTGCGTAAATGTTTACACACTACACCAATGACCATCCTGTATAAGCAAACCGCAATAATTAGATTATGTAATCGATAGCCGCATGTTTATTCCGCATCCATGATTCACTCCAGCAATTTATCACGTAAATAAATCTTTTTCAGATTTCGCAACGCAGTCGGACCAAATTGAAAAAGTGGCGAAGTTTGAAGGCAAAATATTTTCGGCCGTGAACAATTTTTTTTCTTCTTCTCCCTTAGTTAACCAAATAAAAGACCTGATGGTAGGTAATCCAATTTCAGTAACATTGTCCGCAATGACTAAACCTTGTTGAGGAAAAATCATGTGTACATCACTCTTCCCATTAAGATAACTCCTATCACTCTCCCCGCAGCCAAGTGCGTACAAAAAATGACTAACCCAGAGGATTTTCATTAAAAAAAGTGCCAGCCGTCACGTAACTAACATCACGTAATGGGGCCTTCCCTGCGGTAACCTCCTGGACCTATTTAAGCCCGCCCACTCCACCTCATCTCCAGTTCCCCGTCGCCATGAAAGTGCGCTACTTCCTCAACTCCCTGTGCTTGCGGAGACACAACACTTACACCCTCGATGTGGGGCATTTCCAGACGCGCCAGACCGCCCAAGGCGACGCCGACGCCGACGCCACCATCGCCAACAACGAGAACGAGGAGCGCGAGACCAAGAAAGAGACCAAGCCGGCGGCGAAGATCTCGGCGCGCCACTCGGAGGTGTCCAAGGGACAGATGAAGGAGTTCCGGGAGGCCTTCAGGCTGTTCGACAAGGACGGCGACGGCAGCATCACCAAGGAGGAGCTGGGGCGGGTGATGAGGTCGCTGGGGCAGTTCGCGAGGACCGAGGAGCTCCAGCAGATGCTGCAGGAAGTGGACGTGGACGGCGACGGCAACGTGAGCTTCGAGGAGTTCGTGGACATTGCGTGGTCGGCGGGAGCCGGAACCGACCCGGACCATGTGCAGTCTCGAGAAGAGGAGGAGAAGGAGCTGAGGGATGCGTTCAGGGTGTTCGATAAGCACAACAGGGGGTACATCACGGCGTCCGACTTGAGGGCGGTGTTGCAGTGTCTTGGGGAAGACTTGTCGGAGGAAGAAAGTGAGTTATCACAAATTTTTTTTAGTTGTGTATGCTGATTTTTATTGTTGTTGTAGTCGAAGATATGATCAAAGAGGTGGACGTCGATGGCGACGGACGTATAGATTTCTACGGTATTTATTGTAATACAGTTGTTTGAATTTTAGAAAAATAGTTGTGTATTTCAGAATTTGTGAACGCTCTCGGGGAGCCCGGCACCGAAGACAGCTACGACGACGAAGACGACGAAATCATGGGGTACTAAATAATCATATCGGGATTTCTACTCTGAATGTGATGTTTATCTTCTCGGTGTTGCATTTACATTAATCTATTATCTACTTACATATTTAAAGGGGGTCCATAGATGTCACGGGTATGGTAAATGTAGAAGACTAGTTACACACGAGAGTGATTTAACACTTATCATGTATTACTATAAGCTTTAAACTTGGGTGATATATTTCCACTTGAAGTTATGTTGTTTTTATTACCACTATTTTCATATTTTCGTAGAGCAAACGTTAGCATTTGTTGTATCGGTTGTATTACACATGTTTTTATTTTTGTTTACGTAGATCGTAAGACACTATTTTGTATTTGTTTAAAATATAATAAAAGTCGTTAACTTAGATTTGGAGGTTTTTTTTAAGTTGTCTACAAATCCACAACAAATTCGCTACTTTAAATGTCAGGGGAAAAGTACACAAATTCTGCAATGTTGGTTGCCTACTAAAAAAGTGTCTCAAAATAAAGAAAATGTGTCGAAATTTTCGCTGGAAAATTGATCAAGTTGCCAAAAAACACAAAAAAACCTTAACAACTTTAAATTTTGATAGCGATTCTAAAAAAATGGCATAGTTTTCGAAGAGCCGAGGCCGAAAGTGACTTCTGGATGTCAAAGAGAAGAGATAAAAGATCTTCAAGATTTTTTCAAATTCTTACAAAAACAAAATGAACGGGACCTCGAAGATTATTTTATATTCTTAAAAAAAGTATCAGGGTTTTAGATTCTTTCACAAGATTCCAGGAGTCCCAGGTTTTTTCATAGTTTTTCAAAAACCAGGAACTCAACAATCGTCCAACGTGCTTACATACATATATATATTAATATAGATGTATCATACATCAAACTGCAGCTTTTTTCATATTCTAGAGCGCAGAGACCTGTTCAATTAATTAAAAAAATATGGCTGAGAAATATCGTAAAAAAGCACCATTGTATGTTTTCTTTTCAAGTTTTTTGAGTCATAACCATCATAGAATCGCTTGAAAATTCGCACATGGATAAAACATCACTTTTTACAGGCCGCAGAGTCATTAAATGTACTAATAAACATATTTATAATAATAATAAAAAATGCATAACATACAGCTTTTGTTTAACACGTATAAGTAGCTAAGTGTATCTACTACTTATCCCAGAAAGGAGGTGTTTTAAAAAAGCCCTACGCCCAGTAACTTCTCCCTTCATTGTTTACTCGAAAAAAGTGCTCGTATATGTTTTCATTTGCCGAGAGATCATTTTCAAAATATATTTATAATAAAAATATGCAAGTCTTGGTGATGAAAAGTGTACTCCTAATAAATTATTAAAGTACATAAAAAAATAGAAACAAATTTTATTTATTTTAAAAAAATCTCTCGCAAAGGTAGGTTCCTCTTTCTTCTTAAACCAAGTATTTCGGGCAATAATGCGCCAAAGTAAAATCTGCCAAGTTTATCTGCCATCTTTTTACATATTTCTTCGTTTTTTTCTATATTAATTCCTTTGGGTGTCCACACAACAAAATAAACTTGTGAAATACCCGTAACAAGCATTTGTCCCTGGACTTGAAAGTAGTGATCATGATTTTTTTTACTTTCAATTCTCTGTATGTCAATGTACAAAATTTGATTATTTTTTTTCTAACCGCTTCTTCGGGAGACAAATCTTGCGATTTTGAAGGACATTTAATTTCGACTAATGCACTCCTATCCTCTAGAACCCTGTCTGGACTAGCAGCCAAGTAAGGAAATTGTTTTGAAATAAAGACACACCGTTCAGTTTTTATATTTTTATTTATTTCAAAACACTTGACAGCTTTTTCCTCACTTTGCTGTCCATAGTATGTATGACTATTATCTCTAAATGTAGCGTACAACAGAGACTTCACAGTTTTAGCTGTTGCTGTAGTCGGTCTAAGTTTGTAAATACGTCCAAATTTGAAGCCGTAACCCTAATTTCCCTTTCTTTTGCCTAAATGTGCCTGTTGCCTAGTGTCTATTTCAATTTGGTCTAAATTCAAAGATAATTTTCTCAAAAAAACCTCTTTGGCTGTCACAAATGTTTCTATATCCATGACAGGATTTTCTAAAAAATATTTAAACCATAATCGCAGTCGGGACCAGCATACGTACATTTTTTTACGACATATTTTCTTACGAATACTTAGTCTAAGACGAGCTTGTTTCATAGATGAACAATATTTTTTTGTTATTAAACCAGGACCGTTTTAATCACAATATATTTACTTATCCCCTCTAAAAAATTGATCATGTCATCTCAAAATTTTGCTGAATAAATCCTATCTAAAATGTACAAAATATGATGAGTCTCTTCTTGTAATTTATCATTCCATTCATATTTTTTGGATTCGGATATACAGGGTGACTCAAAAAATCTAATGAATGCGCAAATTTATTTTATTGATTTAATCAGGAACTACAAAACCGAATGCTTTGAAATCTAATGTGAAAAAAAAACATAATAGGCATGCAGTCGTCACGTTTCCGATAGCGAGGGAAGTACTATCTAAACTCTTTAGACCGATTTTTTTGATTTTCCCATTTCTCCATTTCCCAATTTTTCAATGTTTCAGTTTGGGATTTTTTCACTGTTTCGATTCTTTAATTTTCCTTCCAATTTTAGGTTTTTCAATATTTCAGCTTTGGAATTTTGCAATATTTCGTTTCTTCAATTTTTCAAATTTTTGGTATGTGTTTTCTCGGTTTTTAAATTTTTCGATATTTTAATTTTTCAGTTTTTAAAGTTTTAGGTTTTTAGATTTCTCACTATCCCGACTTTTCGATTTTTCAGTTTCATGATTTTTCAATTTGTCGAATTTTTAAATTTTAGATATTTTGTTTTCTTTGATGTTTTGACTTCTCGATCACTCGAATTTCTGAGTTTTCAGGCTTAGATTTTTTTTGTTGTTCAATTCTTGGATTTTTAAAATTTTTGTTTTTTAAATTTTCCTATTTATCAACTTACTGGGATTTCAATGTTTTGATTTTTTGATTCTTCACTTTCTCGATTTTTTGAATTTTTAGTTTTTGATACGAATTTTTTTTTTCAAAAATTTTCAGTTATTCAATTTATTAACTTTACGATACTTCAGTTTTGCTCGATTTCGATTTCTCAATTTTTCGACATATTACTGTTGCAATTTTTCAATTTATCGATCCTTCGATTTCTCGATTCTTCATATTTTCGGTTTCTCGAATTTCTTCATTTTTCGATTTCTCAATTTTTCGATTAACTGATTTTTTGATTTTCCCATTTCTCTATTTCTCGATTTTTCAATTCTTTCTTCAATTGTGATTTTTCAATTTTTCGATTTCTGAATTTTTCAATGTTTCAGTTTTGGATTTTTTCACTTTTCCGATTCTTCAATTTTCCTTCCATTTTTAGGTTTTTCAATATTTCAGGTTTGGAATTTTGCAATATTTCGTTTCTTCAACTTTTCAAATTTTTGATATTGTTTTCTCGGTTTTTAAATTTTTCGATATTTTAATTTTACAGTTTTTAAAGTTTTAGGTTTTTAGATTTCTCACTATCCCGACTTTTCGATTTTTCAGTTTCATGATTTTTCAATTTGTCGAATTTTTAAATTTTAGATATTTTGTTTTCTTTGATGTTTTGACTTCTCGATCACTCGAATTTCTGAGTTTTCAGGCTTAGATTTTTTTTGTTGTTCAATTCTTGGATTTTTAAAATTTTTGTTTTTTAAATTTTCCTATTTATCAACTTACTGGGATTTCAATGTTTTGATTTTTTGATTCTTCACTTTCTCGATTTTTTGAATTTTTAGTTTTTGATACGAATTTTTTTTTCAAAAATTTTCAGTTATTCAATTTATTAACTTTACGATACTTCAGTTTTGCTCGATTTCGATTTCTCAATTTTTCGACATATTACTGTTGCAATTTTTCAATTTATCGATCCTTCGATTTCTCGATTCTTCATATTTTCGGTTTCTCGAATTTCTTCATTTTTCGATTTCTCAATTTTTCGATTAACTGATTTTTTGATTTTCCCATTTCTCTATTTCTCGATTTTTCAATTCTTTCTTCAATTGTGATTTTTCAATTTTTCGATTTCTGAATTTTTCAATGTTTCAGTTTTGGATTTTTTCACTTTTCCGATTCTTCAATTTTCCTTCCATTTTTAGGTTTTTCAATATTTCAGGTTTGGAATTTTGCAATATTTCGTTTCTTCAACTTTTCAAATTTTTGATATTGTTTTCTCGGTTTTTAAATTTTTCGATATTTTAATTTTACAGTTTTTAAAGTTTTAGGTTTTTAGATTTCTCACTATCCCGACTTTTCGATTTTTCAGTTCCATGATTTTTCAATTTGTCGACTTTTTAAATTTTAGATATTTTGTTTTCTTTGATGTTTTGAGTTCTCGATCACTCGAATTTCTGAGTTTTCAGGCTTAGGTTTTTTTGTTGTTCAATTCTTGGATTTTGAAAATTTTTGTTTTTTAAATTTTCCTATTTATCAACTTACTGGGATTTCAATGTTTTGATTTTTTGATTGTTCAGTTTCTCGATTTTTTGAATTTTTAGTTTTTGATACGATTTTTTTTTTCAAAAACTTTCAGTTTTTCAATTTATTAACTTTATGATACTTCGGTTTTGCTCGATTTCGATTTTTCAATTTTTCGACATATTACTGTTGGGATTTTTCAATTTATCGATTCTTCGATTTCTCTTTTCTTCATATTTTCGGTTTCTCGAATTTCTTCATTTTTCGATTTCTCAATTTTCCGATGTTTCAGTTTTACGATTTTTATTTTTTTTTATTTTTCAGTTTTCAATTTTTGACGTTTCTAGATTTTTCGATTTCTCAATTTTTCGATTAACTGATTTTTTGATTTTCCCATTTCTCTATTTCTCGATTTTTCAATTCTTTCTTCAATTGTGATTTTTCAATTTTTCGATTTCTGAATTTTTCAATGTTTCAGTTTTGGATTTTTTCACTTTTCCGATTCTTCAATTTTCCTTCCATTTTTAGGTTTTTCAATATTTCAGGTTTGGAATTTTGCAATATTTCGTTTCTTCAATTTTTCAAATTTTTGATATTGTGTTTTCTCGGTTTTTAAATTTTTCGATATTTTAATTTTTCAGTTTTTAAAGTTTTAGGTTTTTAGATTTCTCACTATCCCGACTTTTCGATTTTTCAGTTCCATGATTTTTCAATTTGTCGAATTTTTAAATTTTAGATATTTTGTTTTCTTTGATGTTTTGACTTCTCGATCACTCGAATTTCTGAGTTTTCAGGCTTAGATTTTTTTTGTTGTTTGTTCAATTCTTGGATTTTTAAAATTTTTGTTTTTTAAATTTTCCTATTTATCAACTTACTGGGATTTCAATGTTTTGATTTTTTGATTCTTCACTTTCTCGATTTTTTGAATTTTTAGTTTTTGATACGAATTTTTTTTTTTCAAAAATTTTCAGTTATTCAATTTATTAACTTTACGATACTTCAGTTTTGCTCGATTTCGATTTCTCAATTTTTCGACATATTACTGTTGCGATTTTTCAATTTATCGATCCTTCGATTTCTCGATTCTTCATATTTTCGGTTTCTCGAATTTCTTCATTTTTCGATTTCTCAATTTTCCGATATTTCAGTTTTACGATTTTTCATTTTTTTTATTTTTCAGTTTTCAATTTTTGACGTTTCTAAATTTTTCGATTAACTGATTTTTTGATTTTCCCATTTCTCTATTTCTTGATTTTTCAATTCTTTGTTCAATTGTGATTTTTCAATTTTTCGATTTCTGAATTTTTTAATCTTTCGTTTGACGTTTTCTGCGCACATTTGCGTCTAATACCACCCCAAACCAGCAGATGCCGCGCGCGCTTCTGTCAAATCTGTTGACAAGCAATAAAATGTAAAGTATTCACAACTAACCTCAAAAAACTGTTAAATGGTTAGCGATAAAATCAAAGAAAAACACCGCCATGTGAAACACCGCTCAAAATAATCGAATCAAACGCGAAGCTGTCGCCACCCAAACCAAAAATGAAATCCAAGGTCCAATTAATCTCTCAAATCAAAAAAGAGGTAAGTCTCGGGCCCGACTTTTCCGCGGTCCATTTTCGGAAAATCCCCACGTGTTCGTTTACCAGCACTTAACCCTATAACACAGTTCAACGCGTTTTATTGCCGAGCGGCCAATTAAACCAATTTAAGTGGCACAATAAATCACAAAAAAAATCGTCCTAGCGGCTATTCGTATACCACAATAAAGATATTTACTCTATAGATAAGGAGTTTTACGTTATCAGATTATTTTGTTAATTCCCAAGACTGTGCCGTTGCGATTCATGCAAGTATTAATGTTACATAACGTTGTGGCAAGTGATTGATTTTTTTCCAGCACAAAAAGACACACATGCATATACCGATGATCTTCATCGTAGTTTCGACTTTGGTGTTATCTGTGCTGTCGCTCGCCGATCTGGAATGGGAAGATAAGATTTCGATCAACAGGGGGTTCTCTCTTTTTTGTTATGGACTTGTGTTTTTCACCGTGCTGTACCATACCCTCAACAACTTGCTACTGCGGACCTCTTCTGGACAGAGGTTCATCAAAACGTACAAGCTTTCGGTTGGGGACGTCTATGACATCAGCAACAAGTATGTACAATGTTAACGGAATTTGGAGTCTTTGGGGTAAATTTTCAACGAGGATTAACGTCCTTGTTTGTGACTGCGTTTATCTCGTTACGTTATCAGTTATTTTAAAACACATAATTGCATCAGCACTAATTATATTATGAGCCTGATATAGAGTGGTTGTACTTAGAGTGTAATAACAGTCCGATTTCAGGATCGTCTCGGCCATCCAGGCCCTTTTTTGTTGCCTCACGGGGCTCACCTGTTGCACCTATTCGTGCTTCAGGAACATTCTGCGCACTTCCCACTACATCTCGGAAGCTTACGCCTGGTTTGGAGCGGCGTATTTCCTCTACGACATCTGGTCCATGTACAAGGTGCACAGTATGAAGATCCTCCAAGCCACCGTAAACGGAGACGCGAAAAAATCGGGAGTCAAGTTTTTGAATTACCTGAAGACGCACGCGGTGATCGTGGGGCACCACATCTTCATCGGGGCTTTCGGATTTTTAGTCATAACGGTATGAATCGTCCGTCGGATTTTGGTTCGTTTTTGATCTGTATTTTTCAGTATTTGAGAGGCGGTCTCGGGGATTGCTTTTTCGGATTTGTGTACCTGATGGAGGCCAGCACTCCGTTCGTTTCGTTGCGGGGCATCTTGTCGAAGATAGGACTGAAATCGTCGAACTTGTACGTCGTCAATGGACTCGTGATGTTGGCGGTGTTTTTTATATGTAGGGTAGCTATGTTCCCTGGTGTGATATATTTGTACAGCCAAAGCGTCGACTTGGATTACTTTTCTGTGAGTGTTTGAGGGTGGTCTGGGCGACTTTAGCGTTTGTGGTTTCTAGGCGATCCAGTCGTTACCGCGGGGGTGCAAAATCAGCATCCTCATCCTCCTCCTACCCCAGATTTACTGGTTTTTTCTGATGGTGAAGGGAGCGTCCCAAGTATTAAAACGCAAAGTGACCAAAAAGAAGACTTCAAAGAACGTACATTGATAGTTTCGAGCACAGAGACTTCAATATAACCTGCCAAAACAGAGCTTACCGCCTATTCGTGACCAGAACGAATTAACTGTGGAAAACGAGCTATTTTTCGAAAAGTTGTTTAACATTGTCACGTCAATGTCGTTATTAACTGTGATTGTTGAGTTTTCTTTAGTTCGATTTATTTATTTGAATGGGTTCCTGAGTGTACAGATTTGTAATTTATTTTATCGAGTATTAAGAGTATCGCACTTACTTTTGTGCCGAGCACAAATTTGTTGAAGCATTTTTGTAACTTATTGGATGACTGTTTTGTAAATTGAATGTAAAATATATGTATGAGGAAATAAATAAAACACGTATTTTATTGATGGTTTGATATTCTTCGATGATTTCTTCTGTGGCCTTGAAACGAGTAGCGGCCTTCACTTTTTCTTCCACTGTACAAAAAAAGAGGTTAAAATGTCGAGAAACACCACAGGGTGACGCTGCGGTCACAATTTGTACCGCTAGATGTCGCTGCGCTGGAAGCGGCGCATGGCCAACTAACATCCATTCTCACTGACATCGTGTTAAAATTTCACTTTTGAAAAAGTTGTCTAAGAATTTCGAAAACTAAATTTGGTAACAACTGATGCCAGATGTTTTTTTGAATTAAATACGCTAAAATTTCAACATCAATTTCTGCTTTGTAAAAAGGATTTACATAACATTTTACGATTTAACTTTTTGTATACGTGTTAAAATTTAAAAATCGTTACGTGTTTGTTATCGCAACTTAGTGAAATGTGACCACCGATAAAATAAAGATAAGGCCCCCATACAATAAATCTTACGAGTGTTTTTTTCCAAGCAGTAAAACTTGTTTTCGCAAAAAACTTGTCGGCACTGGAACCAGAATTAATACTAGAGTTATTTATTCATCATCATTTCCTAACAATGCTTTTGGGTGTAGTTTTAACCGTGCTTTGCTTGCCGTTCTTGTGGTGGTATTTTTTTCTGCAAAAATTTAAATCTCTGAGTGCCATTCCTGGTCCGAGACCTCTTCCACTTATTGGAAATGCACTGGATGTTGGTGACACTCCCACAGGTGAGTTTTAACTGACGTCGTCACGTTGTTAAATGGTCATCAATTCCAAATACTGACCTGAATTGTGTGCTACCTGACAGTATTTGTTTCAGCTTTGTTTAACAACTGCGCGAAATTACTAGACCAATATGGAGACATTTTCAAAGTATTCATCGCCAATGAATGCAAAGTTTTCATTGCGAATGCAGATTTTCTCGAGGAAATCATGACTTCGAATGTCCACATCACGAAGTCAAACGGGTACTACCTTCTGAAACCATTCCTCAACTTTGGACTGTTGACGAGTTCAGGTATGGTTACACAACACGTTTTTTTTTTCTGAAATTAATTGTAATTAAGGATCAAAGTGGAAAAGACGTAGAAAGTTAATAACGCCGACGTTCCATTTCAAAATATTGGATCAATTTTTAGACATTTTTAATGCGAGTAGCGACATTCTCGTCAAGAAATTATTCAATGAGGTGGGAAAAGAGTCGACTGATGTTTATCCTTACATACATCTATTTTCGCTTGACGTAATCTGTGGTAAGTCCATTTTTGGTTTAACACTGTTGTAAAAAAATAATCATAGAAACAGCAATGGGTGTGAAAATTTCCTCTCAAGAAGGCAAAAACTCCGAATACGTAAATTCTCTTATCCACTACTTTGACATCTTCATAGTGCGTTTTTTTTCTGCGTGGAGACGATTCGACTTTCTTTTTAAATTTGCGCCGGAATATCCCATACAGGAAAAATACTTGGAGACTTTGCAAAGATTTTCGACTAGCGTCATAAAGAAACGTAGGTTAGAAAAAAGTCAAGAAGTCGTCGAAACAACTTCAGATCTCGGAATCAAGCGACGAGTCGCATTGTTGGATTTGTTGCTCGAATCAGACGACTTAACTAACGACGATATTAAAGAAGAAATTAACACTTTTATGTTTGAGGGTCACGATACCACGGCTTCTGGAGTTACTTTTGCGTTGCTAGCATTGGCGGAAAATCCAGAAGTTCAGCAAAAGGTATACGACGAAGTTTTGGCGGTGGTTGGGGATGAAACGTACGTGTCGATGCAGCACTTACAAGACACGAAATACTTGGAAATGGTAATCAAAGAAGTGCAGCGGAAATACGGCGCAGTGCCGTTTGTCGAACGTCAGTTAGAAATGGATGCTACTATACGTAATATTTTTCGATTCAAGAAGTTTCAATATTTATTTATGTTTGTCAGGTGGTGTTCATTTTCCCAGAGGTACTACTTTGAATTTGTACCTTTATGGTGTCCACCACAACGAAAAATATTTTCCCGAGCCGGAAAAATTCGACCCCGATAGATTTTGGCCACACAGGCAATCAGAGAGACACAACTATGCCTTCGTGCCTTTTAGTGCTGGTCCTAGAAATTGTGTTGGTATGGATTTAATTTGTTTATTTACGGTTTTTGACACGTGAAAATGGGTCGTCTTTCAGGGCAGAAATTCGCCATGCACGATATGAAGGTGACGATCATAAAAATTTTGCAGAAGTTTGAAATTTTAACAGTGCCTGGCTACAAACCTGAGTTGGGAATGGCTGCAGTGTTGAAATCTTACAATGGAATGCGGCTTCGGTTTATAGAAAGAGATAATGAATCTGAAAAATAACTTGTATCTTATTGTTAATTATTGTTATTAAAATAATCTTTTATTTTGAGAATTCTTGAGAATTACTAAAAATTTCGATATTTCAATCGTCGATTCCGGAAAAACGGTTGCAGTTATCAAAGAAACGAGACCGAAAGTGAGTTCTAGAGCTCGAAATCTACAAGAAAATGTGCTTGGTTGAGTTTCGAAAATGTCAAAATTTGGCGGAAATGTGAAGAAGGGAAAAGTTTCACTTTTCAAAAAGTTGTCTAAAAATTCTGAAAAAATTCAGGGACGTGGTTCTCGACATGCTGATTCCAAAAATATAAGGTTTTGATGGCCTCGGAGCAATATTTTCGAAAGAATCGCCACGAAATGCGAATTTTTGAGAATTTCTAGAAATTTCGATATTTTAACGGTCGATTCCGGAAAAACGGTTGCTGTTATCGATTAAACGAGGCCGGAACCGAGTTCTAGAGCTCGAAATCTATAAGAAAATGTGCTTAGTTGAGTTTCGAAAATGTCAAAATTTGGCCGAAATGTGAAGAAGGAGGGACCATTGGAAAAATTTCACTTTTCAAAAAGTTGTCTAAAAATTCTGAAAAAATTCAGGGACGTAGATCTCGACATGCTGATTCCAAAAATACAGGGTGTTGATGGCCCCGGAGCAACATTTTCGAAAGAATCGCCACGAAATGCGAATTTTTGAGAATTTCTAGAATTTTCGATATTTCAACGGTCGATTCCGGAAAAACGGTTGCAGTTATCGAATAAACGAGGCCGGAACTGAGTTCTAGAGCTCGAAATCTACAAGGAAATGTGCTTAGTTGAGTTTCGAAAATGTCAAAATTTGGCCGAAATGTGAAGAAGGTGGGACCATTGGAAAAATTTCACTTTTCAAAAAGTTGTCTAAAAATTCTGAAAAAATTCAGGGACGTAGATCTCGACATGCTGATTCTAAAAATATAGGGTGTTGATGGCCCCGGAGCAACATTTTCGAAAGAAACGCCACGAAATGCGAATTTTTGAGAATTTCTAAAAATTTCGATATTTTAACGGTCGATTCCGGAAAAACGGTTGCTGTTATCGATTAAACGAGGCCGGAACCGAGTTCTAGAGCTCGAAATCTACAAGAAAATGTGCTTAGTTGAGTTTCGAAAATGTCAAAATTTGGCCGAAATGTGAAGAAGGTGGGACCATAGGAAAAATTTCACTTTTCAAAAAGTTGTCTAAAAATTCTGAAAAAATTCAGGGACGTAGATCTCGACATGCTGATTCCAAAAATATAAGGTGTTGATGGCCTCGGAGCAACATTTACGGAAGAATCGCCATGAAATGCGAATTTTTGAGAATTTCTAAAAATTTCGATATTTCAACGGTCGATTCCGGAAAAACGGTTGCTGTTATCGATTAAATGAGGCCGGAACCGAGTTCTAGAGCTCGAAATCTACAAGAAAATGTGCTTAGTTGAGTTTCGAAAATGTCAAAATTTGGCAGAAATGTGAAGAAGGGGGGACCATTGGAAAAATTTCACTTTTCAAAAAGTTGTCTAAAAATTCTGAAAAAATTCAGGGACATAGATTTCGACATGCTGATTCCAAAAATATAGGGTGTTGATGGCCCCGGAGCAACATTTTCGAAAGAATCGCCACGAAATGCGAATTTTTGAGAATTTCTAGAAATTTCGGTATTTTAACGGTCGATTCCGGAAAAACGGTTGCTGTTATCGATTAAACGAGGCCGGAACTGAGTTCTAGAGCTGGAAATCTACAAGAAAATGTGCTTAGTTGAGTTTCGAAAATGTCAAAATTTGGCCGAAATGTGAAGAAGGGGGGACCATTGGAAAAATTTCACTTTTCAAAAAGTTGTCTAAAAATTCTGAAAAAATTCAGGGACGTTGTTCTCGACATGCTGATTCCAAAAATATAAGGTGTTGAGGGCCTCGGAGCAACATTTACGGAAGAATCGCCATGAAATGCGAATTTTTGAGAATTTCTAGAAATTTCGATATTTTAACGGTCGATTCCGGAAAAACGGTTGCTGTTATCGATTAAACGAGGCCGGAACCGAGTTCTAGAGCTCGAAATCTATAAGAAAATGTGCTTAGTTGAGTTTCGAAAATGTCAAAATTTGGCCGAAATGTGAAGAAGGGGGGACCATTGGAAAAATTTCACTTTTCAAAAAGTTGTCTAAAAATTCTGAAAAAATTCAGGGACGTAGATCTCGACATGCTGATTTTAAAAATATAGGGTGTTGGTGGCCCCGGAGCAACATTTTCGAAAGAATCGCCACGAAATGCGAATTTTTGAGAATTTCTAAAAATTTCGATATTTTAACGGTCGATTCCGGAAAAACGGTTGCAGTTATCGAATAAACGAGGCCGGAACCGAGTTCTAGAGCTCGAAATCTACAAGGAAATGTGCTTAGTTGAGTTTCGAAAATATCAAAATTTGGCCGAAATGTGAAGAAGGGGAGACCATTGGAAAAATTTCACTTTTCAAAAAGTTGTCTAAAAATTATGAAAAAATTCAGGGACCTAGTTCTCGACATGCTGATTCCAAAAAGATAAGGTGTTGATGGCCTCGGAGCAACATTTACGGAAGAATCGCCATGAAATGCGAATTTTTGAGAATTTCTAAAAATTTCGATATTTCAACGGTCGATTCCGGAAAAACGGTTGCTGTTATCGATTAAACGAGGCCGGAACCGAGTTCTAGAGCTCGAAATCTACAAGAAAATGTGCTTAGTTGAGTTTCGAAAATGTCAAAATTTGGCCGAAATGTGAAGAAGGGGGGACCATTGGAAAAATTTCACTTTTCAAAAAGTTGTCTAAAAATTCTGAAAAAATTCAGGGACGTAGATCTCGACATGCTGATTCCAAAAATATAGGGTGTTGATGGCCCCGGAGCAACATTTTCGAAAGAATCGCCACGAAATGCGAATTTTTGAGAATTTCTAGAAATTTCGATATTTTAACGGTCGATTCCGGAAAAACGGTTGCTGTTATCGATTAAACGAGGCCGGAACCGAGTTCTAGAGCTCGAAATCTACAAGAAAATGTGCTTAGTTGAGTTTCGAAAATGTCAAAATTTGGCAGAAATGTGAAGAAGGGGGGACCATTGGAAAAATTTCACTTTTCAAAAAGTTGTCTAAAAATTATGAAAAAATTCAGGGACCTAGTTCTCGACATGCTGATTCCAAAAATATAAGGTGTTGATGGCCTCGGAGCAACATTTACGGAAGAATCGCCATGAAATGCGAATTTTTGAGAATTTCTAAAAATTTCGATATTTCAACGGTCGATTCCGGAAAAACGGTTGCTGTTATCGATTAAACGAGGCCGGAACCGAGTTCTAGAGCTCGAAATCTACAAGAAAATGTGCTTAGTTGAGTTTCGAAAATGTCAAAATTTGGCCGAAATGTGAAGAAGGGGGGACCATTGGAAAAATTTCACTTTTCAAAAAGTTGTCTAAAAATTCTGAAAAAATTCAGGGACGTAGATCTCGACATGCTGATTCCAAAAATATAGGGTGTTGATGGCCCCGGAGCAACATTTTCGAAAGAATCGCCACGAAATGCGAATTTTTGAGAATTTCTAAAAATTTCGATATTTTAACGGTCGATTCCGGAAAAACGGTTGCTGTTATCGAAGAAACGAGGCCGGAACTGATTTCTAGAGATCGAAATCGACAAGAAAATGTGCTTAGGTGAGTTTCGAAAATGTCAAAATTTGGCCGAAATGTGAAGAAGGGGGGACCATTGGAAAAATTTCACTTTTCAAAAAGTTGTCTAAAAATTCTGAAAAAATTCAGGGACGTAGATCTCGACATGCTGATTCCAAAAATATAGGGTGTTGATGGCCCCGGAGCAACATTTTCGAAAGAATCGCCACGAAATGCGAATTTTTGAGAATTTCTAAAAATTTCGATATTTTAACGGTCGATTCCGGAAAAACGGTTGCTGTTATCGATTAAACGAGGCCGGAACCGAGTTCTAGAGCTCGAAATCTACAAGAAAATGTGCTTAGTTGAGTTTCGAAAATGTCAAAATTTGGCAGAAATGTGAAGAAGGGGGGACCATTGGAAAAATTTCACTTTTCAAAAAGTTGTCTAAAAATTCTGAAAAAATTCAGGGACCTAGTTCTCGACATGCTGATTCCAAAAATATAAGGTGTTGATGGCCTCGGAGCAACATTTTCGGAAGAATCGCCACGAAATGTGAATTTTTGAGAATTTCTAATAATCGCGATATTTCAACGTTCGATTCCGGAGAAACGGTTTCATTAATCGAAGAAATGAGGCCGGAACTGATTTCAAAGAGCTCGATATCTGCAAAAAAACTACATTTAGTGAAGTTTCTAAAATGTCAAAAAGTGGCCGAAATTTGAAGACGGAAAATTTTCACTTTTAAAAAGTTGTCTACAAATTGTGAAAAAATTCAGAGAGGTAGATCTCGACAAGCTGATTCGAAAATTATGTAGTGTTGACGGTTACGGAGCAACATTTTCGAAGGAATTGGCATGAAATGCGAATTTTTGAGAATTCCTAAAAATTTTGAAATTTCAACGGTCGATTCTGGAAAAACGGTTGTACTTATCAAAGAAACGAAGCCGGAAGTGAGTTGTAGATCTCAAATTTTATGCGAAACAATGGGTAAATAATAATAATGTGTTTATTGCCCAACAGCTCATAAGAACCTATTACAGAGCAATTGATACAAACTAAAATATTATCAACACAAAAAAAGCAAAGTAAATAAATAAGTACAAATAAATATACCGGATACCTGAATAATAAGTCTAAATTAGGAGTTTTTTTTATTATTAATTAAATAGTTTTAGTAAATAATGTTGTTATCATTAATGCCGGCCTCTGATTACACGGTTAAAATCGTACACAATTATGTGTTTGTACCATTTAGCGCTGTCCCTGGAAATTGTGTTGGTTGGTATAAATTGTTAACCATTTGTATTCATGTTTTTTAAATACGTTAAAATTTTGTAGGTAAAAAATTTGCAATGCTAAACATGAAGGTGACAGTTATGAAAATTTCGCAAAAGTTGGGAATGGCTGCTATGTTGGAATCTTATAATGGAATACGGCGAGAGAAAATGAAAATTAACAAATTAGGAAATGAAAAATAAAAATCATGAACAAAAAAAATTGAGAAAACGACAAATTAAAATCGGAAAACTAAAAATTGAGTAAAATCGAAAAGTTCTGACCGCTTTTTTTTTTGTTATTTAACTATTACTTCTAGTAAACAACGTTCTTATCATTATTATCGGTCAGATTCCACGGTAAAAGATGGTCACCTTTGACCTTGTTGTTGTTCTGTTTGTTTGCGAATCAACTCCTTGCAACACCACGATTGAGGCGAGTTTTCACTATCAATTCGTTCTTCCACAGGTGCATAGTGAAAAAAATAAATGTTAACCTCGATTTGAACAATGTTTTTTGTCGTGGTTTTAAGCGTGCTTTCCTTGCCATTCCTTTGGTGGTATTTTTTTCTACAAAAATTTAAATCTCTTAGCGTCATTCCTGGTCCACGACCTCTTCCACTTATTGGGAATGCATTTGACATCGGCGACACACCCATAGGTGAGTTTTTACAAAAAAAGTTTAATATTATTCCATTTTTAAAAACTGGTTTTAGCTCTGCTCAACAATTGCGCGAAGTTGCTAAATCAGTATGGAGACGTTTTCAAAATATTCATCGGCAACGAATGCAAAGTTTTCATTGCAAACGCAGATTTTCTCGAGGAAATCATGAGTTCGAATGTGCACATCACCAAATCGAACACGTATGATCTTTTGAAGCCTTTTTTGAACGATGGACTGTTAACGAGCAGGGGTAAGGACATCATCGCACGTAATTTTTTTCTTACCGTTAATTTAACTAAGGATCGAAGTGGAAAAAACGCAGAAAGATGATAACGCCAACATTGCATTTCAAAATATTGGATCAATTCCTTGAAGTTTTTAACTCAAGTACTGACATTCTTATCGCGAAATTGTCAAGCGAAGTCGGAAAGGACTGGACAGACATTTACCCTTACATAAATCTATTTTCGCTTGACGTAATCTGCGGTAAGTTTCCACTTTTTTTTTTAATTTAATAAAAAACGTAACAACAGAGACAACAATGGGGGTGAAAATTTCCTCTCAAGAGGGCAAAAATTCCGAATTTGTACACGCTCTTTCTCACTATTTTGACATCTTGGTGGTGCGTGCATTTTCTGCGTGGAAGAGATTCGACTTTCTTTTTAAATTTGCCGCGGAATATCCCTTACAAGAAAAATACGTGGAGACTTTGCAAAAATTCTGCAGTAGCGTCATTGAGAAACGCCGCTTAGAAAAAAGCCCACAAGTCGTAGAAACAACTTCAGATCTCGGAATCAAGCGACGAATCGCATTGTTGGACTTGTTGCTCGAATCAGACGACTTGACTAACGACGATATTAAAGAAGAAATTAACACTTTCATGTTTGCGGGTCACGATACCACGACTTCTGGAGTCACCTTTGCATTGTTAGCATTGGCAGAAAATCCAGAAATACAACAAAATGTGTACGAGGAAATTTTGGAGGTAGTTGGTGAGGAAAAGTACGTGTCGATGCAACATTTACAAGACACGAAATACTTGGAAATGGTTATCAAAGAGGTGCAACGGAAGTACAGTTCAGTGCCTTTTATTGAACGTCAGCTAGAAATGGATGCCACTATATGTAATATTTTTTTATTGAAGAGGTTTCAATATTTAAATATGTTTGTCAGGTGGTGTTCATTTTCCCAGAGGTGCCACGTTACATTTGTATCTTCATGGCGTTCACCACAACGAAAAATATTTTCCCGATCCGGAAAAATTCGACCCCGAAAGATTTTTGCCTCATAGACAAGCAGAAAGACACAACTACGCTTTCGTGCCTTTTAGTGCTGGTCCTAGAAATTGTATTGGTACGTATTGTTATTCATAAAGAGCGGATTTTAGGCTAAAAAAGCCAAAATAAGCGATTAAAACGGGGGTTTAATCATAAAAAAAATATTTTCCAAAAATGTAACTCCTAAAGTGTTTGAGATTATCTGTTAAAGCTGGGGAAACAGAAATAACTAGCAAAATGCAAGTGCAGTAAACCACTGCTTGCTTAAAAAAGATTCTATAGGAAAAGGTTAAACTTAGCCCCGCCCACCCACCCGTTCTCTAATTTTGGTTTTCATAAATAGGAAATAAATGTTCTAGCAAATAAATAGTATAACAAAAAAATTACGGTTGATATAAAACTTTGATATGGACACATAAAAGCGGCCATTCGTCCGATGGGCTCGATTACAATACTTTGGTCATTTTTAAAAAGGCACAAAATACTAGATGATAAACAATTTTTAAATCACTTTTACTTTTGAACTTCACTTTACTAAAACCCAACACGAACTAATTGACACAGGAAGAGAACTCAAAAAGAAAGTTGTAGGAGGGCTTGGTGTATCACTATGAAGTGGTGGTACTGTACGAAAGGGGGTAAAAATAGTCTGTAAGCACGTGATGTCGATAAGGTCGTAAACGGACGTATTAAGGGGACTCGCTAGACGAGGTATAACATTTTTTTGGTTTTTTGTATGAAAAAAAATGATATTAATATAGATGTATAATACATCAAACTGCAGCTTTTTTCATATTCTAGAGCGCAGAGACCAGTTCAATCAATTAAAAAAATATGGCTGAGAAATATCGTAAAAAAAGCACCATCGTATGTTTTATTTTCAAGTAGAATCATCATAGAATCGCTTGAAAATTCGCACATGGATAAAAAATCACTTTTTACAGGCCGCAGAGTCATTAAATGTTTGTTAGTGGTACAATTTGTTTAAATAATAATGTGTTTATTAAAATCAAAATATACCACAAATTAATGCAAAATACGTCGAATAATTTTAACAGGAATATCAGAGGAAAATTACTGATCTATTGGTTAGCAGAGTTTTTAACAAAAACTAACAATTATTGAAAAAAATGGGTGTCAATTCGACAGATTTTGAGCCGTTAGTTCAGTACTTTGCCGATAGGAGCGTCACTAACATTTACGGAAGCGACTTTCCAGGTAACACCCTTATCGCCTGCTCTACCATAAGCTGATTGTTAGCGTTCTCGGCTGATTTTTCTAATTTATGATAAGTTTTATAACGTCAGCTGAAAAGTTTGCCGAATAATCCTATTTAAAATGTATAAAATATGATGAGTCTCTTCTTGTAATTTATCGTTCCATTCATATTTTTTTGATTCGGATATACAGGATGACTCAAAAAATTATTATAATGAATGCGCAAATTTATTTTATTGATTTAATCAGGAACTACAAAACCGAATGCTTTGAAATCTAATGTGAAAAAAAACATAATAGGCATCCAGTCGTCACGTTTCCGATAGCGAGGGAAGTACTGTCTAAACTCTTTAGACCAATTTTTTTGATTTTCCCAATTTCTCCATTTCTCAATTTTTCAATGTTTCAGTTTGGGATTTTTTCACTGTTTCGATTCTTTAATTTTCTTTCCAATTTTAGGTTTTTCAATATTTCAGCTTTGGAATTTTGCAATATTTTGTTTCTTCAATTTTTCAAATTTTTGATATTGTGTTTTCTCGGTTTTTAAATTTTTCGATATTTTAATTTTTCAGTTTTTAAAGTTTTAGGTTTTTAGATTTCTCACTATCTCGACTTTTCGATTATTCAGTTCCATGATTTTTCAGTTTGTCGAATTTTTAAATTTTAGATTTTTTGTTTTCTTTGATGTTTTGAGTTCTCGATCATTCGATTTTGTGAGTTTTCAGGCTTGGATTTTTTTTGTTGTTCAATTCTTGGATTTTAAATTTTTTTTTTTTTAATTTTCCTATTTATCAACTTACTGGGATTTCAATGTTTTGATTTTTTGATTGTTCAATTTCTCGATTTTTTGAATTTTTAGTTTTTGATACGATTTTTTTTTTCAAAAATTTTCAGTTTTTCAATTTATTAACGTTACGATACTTCAGTTTTGCTCGATTTAGATTTCTCAGTTTTTCGACATATTATTATTACTGTTGGGATTTTTCAATTTATCGATTCTTCGATTTCTCGATTCTTCATATTTTTGGTTTCTCGAATTGCTTCATTTTTCGATTTCTCAATTTTCCGATGTTTCAGTTTTACGATTTTTAATTTTTTTTATTTTTCAGTTTTCAATTTTTGACGTTTTTAATTTTTCGATTTCTCAATTTTTCGATTAACTGATTTTTTTATTTTCCCATTTCTCTATTTCTCGATTTTTCAATTCTTCCTTCAATTGTGATTTTTCAATTTTCGATTTCTTAATTTTTTAATGTTTCAGTTTTGGATTTCTTCACTTTTCCGATTCTTCAATTTTCTTTCCATTTTTCAGTTTTTCAAGATTTCAGTTTTGAATTTTTTCACTTTTTCGATTTTTCAATTTTCCTTCCATTTTTCAGTTTTTCAGTATTTCAGCTCTGGGATTTTGCAATGTTTCGGTTCTTCAATTTTTCCATTTTTTGATGTTTCGATTTCTCGGTTTTCAATTTTTGAACATTCCGATGTTTCGATTTTTCGACTTTTTGGCTTTTCGAGTGTTCAATTTTTTGATTTTTGAATTTTAGATTTTTGTTTTTTTGATTTTTTTGGTGTTTCGATTTTCCAATTCTTCAATGTTTCGATTTTTTAATTTTTCAATTTTTCGAATTTTTAAATTTTTTATTTTTCTTTTCTTTTATTTCTCAATTTTTGGATTTTTTTAATTTTACATTTTTCAATTTTACTATTTTTTGATGCTTGGATTTCTCAATTTTTCAAGTTTTCAATACTCAATTTTTCAGGATTTGAATATTGAGAACTTTTCAATTTCTGGATTTTCAGTTTTCAGATATTTTAATTTTTTTATTTTTTTAATGTTTCGATTTATGGGTGTTTTGATTTTTAGATTTTTAAAGTTTTTGATTTTTCGATTTTTCCGATTTGTTGTCTATTTTAAGTATATTTCATTTTTCAATTTGCGCCTTCTGCACCTTCGACCAATTTTTATACTTAGCACGTAGGGTTCTTACTAAGCATTCCTTATTTAACTGAACAGTTATTATTTCACCAAGCATATATTATTTTTACTGAGAATTTCTTTTTTAACTGAGCATTTATTATAAAATCTAAAATTTAAAACAATGAAAAGTTAAAATATCCTAAAACTGAAAAATGGAGAAATCCAAACATCAAAAAAATAAAAATTCGAAAATCTAAAATTTAAAAATCGAAAAACTGAAAAATCAACGAATCGAGAATTCGAAAATTAAAAAAATTGGATAATTGAAAAATCGGATAAATCAAAAATCGAAATATCGAAAAATCGAAAAACCGAAAAGCAAAAAATCGAAAAACCAACAAATCGAAACATTGTAAAATTCAAAAATTGAGACATCGAGAAATCGAAAAATCAAAAAATTGAGAAACCGAAATAGGCCATAATCGAAAAATCGAAAACTTAAAAATGGAAAAATTGATAAAGCTAGAGACTGAATAATCAAAACATCGAAACATCCAAATCTCAATAAATTGAGATCTCAAAAAATTTAAAAATTCGGAAATTTGAAGGATTAAAATATAGAACTGAAAACTCGAGAAACCGAAAAATCTAAAAATTAAAAAATTAAAATATGGAAAAGTTGAAATATAGAAGAATTGAAAACTCGAGATATCGAAAAACCTAGAATTTAAAAAAATGAAATATTAAAACATCGAAAAGTTGAAAAATTGAAAAATCGAAGCATTAAACAGTCGCAGAGTTGAAAAATCTAAAGTTTACAATAAATTGACAATTTATCAATTCAAAAATCGAAAAGTCGAAAAATTGAAATATTGAAAAATCTCATAACTGAAAGAAATATTCAAAAAATTGAGAAATTAAAAAATTGGAAAATTGAGAAATCGAAAATCTAAAAAAGCAAAATCGAAAAATCGTAATCTTAAAAAATCGAAAAATTGAAGAACTGAAGATGTGAAAAATCGAAACTTTAGGAAGTCCAGAAATGGACAAATAAAAAAATACTTTGAAAACCGGGAAACTGAAACTTTAGAAACGTGAAAATTTGAAAAATTGAAAAATCGAAATATTTAAAAACCGTAAAATTGAAGAGGACAAAAATTGAGAAATCCTATCATCGAAACATCGAAAGATTAAGAAATCGAGAAATAGAAAATTTGAAGAATGGAAGAATCGAAAAGGCCCAAAATTGAAATATTGAAAAATTGAGACATTTAAAGTTGAAAAATCGAGAAATCGACAAGCCGAAAAATCCCAATCACGTATTTATAAATCAGAAGATACTAGTTCAAGAAACAATTAGTTACCTCGTATTTTTGGAACAAAATCTACCAAAACGTCGGATAACAGCAATTGTCTTTCATAGAAACAAACAGTCTTCAAAGCAGTCTTTAACAACTCGATATTACAAACATACATCTTAAGTTCTTAATGCGTTTTTTTCTGTCTTGTAATTATTTGTAATGTCAACGCCGAAAGTTTATGTCATTCTGTTATTTACTTTGAATATATATTTTCATTTTGTGTTAATATTTTTGTAACATCACGAATCTAAATTTTACTAAATCTTGTAAAACTAAACAATTATACCAGATTAAAAATCCTTGGAAAGTTTCTGTCAGTCTTCAGATATAGTCAAATAAAAATAGGTGTCAAATTCATTTAAATACAATTCTTTCGTATCACGTTACAACGCGTTGCTTCATATTTTTTATGTCAAGTATATTTTCATATTTTGTACATATATTTTTATACACATTACTGTTTACGGAACAATGTTAATTATGGATTTTGGATAACTCCTCGTATAAGAGCAGAGTGAAGGGTGTATGCCTTTGCTAATGTTTGATGGCGCCATCTGATGTAGAGTAAAATAAACCTAATACGTTGGCTCACTGTAGTGAAAATGCGCGTTGACGAAAAATTTGTCCCACGCCCCCTGGATTCCTTGTCCTAAAGCTCACTTTTTAGGCGAAGTAAAATTTGTATTAGGTTGTCCAACTATAATATACTTAAACAATGATTTAACACATCAAAAGCAAGAGACAACTTGTGTCACTATCCCTAAATGGGTGTTTAAATAATTATTTTAAAACCTACGTACGTACTTACCTACAACCAAAATTAAGACATTTGCCCTAGAATCCGCTCTTTATATTCAGGTTTTTCCATCACCTTAAAATGCGTTGATTTTCAGGTCAAAAATTTGCAATGTTCGATATCAAGGTGCTAATCATAAAAATTCTGCAGAAGTTTAAAATTCTGCAAGCCCCTGACTACAAGCCTCAGCTGGGAATGGCTGCAGTGTTGAAGTCTTACAATGGAATGCGGCTTCGGCTTACGCGAAGAGATAGCGGAAAATAAGTTGTAGCCACTTTTTTCGACAAATAATAAATCTTGTCACTTACATTCAAATGTAAATATAACACTCTTCAAGGTGAACAATTTATAAAACAAAAATAAATTAAAAAATGCATTACAAAAATCTGGTTTTTTAATTGGGTTTGCTTAAAATTCTTAATTATTCGTGGAATGGGTTTTTGTTTAATCGTGATTTGATATTTGCAAAATCATTAATTAAATCGAAAGAGATCAACAAGAAGTGTACTGATATATATATATGATATGAATCTGTGTTCTATGGTTGTCTGCAACCTTTTTTTCTAGGTAATAAAACTATTAAATGAAAATTAAAATATGTAGTTATTGTATTATTAATGTATCAGATATTATGAAGTGGTTTATGTCCGAGGATATAAACTTCAAATAATACCCGTGGTACATACAAAATTTTAAGGACTAATTAAGATGATTGTAAATTCGCATTTTAACATCAAGAAATTTATTAATAAATTATTCTTAATTACAAAAACAAGTCATTCCGTTTTTATGAAAGCTGAGTACAAAAGACAAGTTTATCATAAAATAAACTTGTTTTAAAGTCCTCGAAGCCAACTTGTTTGCAATCGAACTGAAAAAATCAGGAGAATGTTCCAATCATAAAGGATGTTTCGATAAGTGCACAACAGAAAACTCATCTGTTCGGTAATGTCGACATTCTCTTAGTGTCATTCCTGGTCCAAGGCCTCTTCCACTTATTGGAAATGCATTCGATGTTGGCAACACACCCACAGGTGAGTTTTTACTGTTGTTCTTTATTATTCAAAGAGATTATTTCAGCTCTGTTTAACAACTGCGTAAATTTGCTAAGCCAGTATGGGGACATTTTCAAAGTATTCATCGGCAACGAATGCAAAGTTTTCGTTGCAAATGCAGATTTTCTCGAGGAAATCATGAGTTCGAACGTGCATATCACCAAATCGAACGCATACAAGCTTATAAAACCTTTGAAGTTTGGACTAGCAACGAGCACGGGTAAGGCCAACATCTCATTTATTTTTTCTCTTTAACGTGAATTTAAATAAGGATCAAAGTGGAGACAACGTAGAAAATTAATAGCGCCTACGTTTCATTTCAAAATATTGGACCAATTCCTGGAAGTTTTTAACGCAAGTACTGACATTCTTGTCACGAAATTGTCGAGCGAAGTCGGAAAAGACTGGACGGACATTTACCCTTACATAAATTTACTTTCGCTTGACGTAATCTGCGGTAAGCTCGCACTTCTTTTTTTTAATAATTTAATAAAAATGTAACAACAGAGACGGCAATGGGGGTGAAAATTTCCTCTCAAGAGGGCAAAAATTCCGAATATGCACAAGCTCTTTTTCGCTATTTAGACATCGTGATAGCTCGTGCCTTCTCTGCGTGGAAAAGATTCGATTTTCTTTTTCAATTTTCCTCGGAATATCCCCTGCAAGAAAAATACTTGGAGACTCTGCAAAAATTTTCGACAAACATCATAGAAAAGCGTCGCCTTGAAAAAAGTCAACAAGTCGTAGAAAAAACGCCAGACTTTGGAATCAAACGAAGGGTGGCATTGTTGGATGTGCTGCTCGAATCAGACTTAACTAACGAGGATATTGAAGAAGAAATTAACACTTTTATGTTTGGGGGTCACGATTCCACGTCTTCTTTGGTAACCTTTGCGTTGTTAGCACTGGCGGATAATCCGACAATACAACAAAACGTGTATGAGGAAGTTTTGGGGGTAGTTGGTGAGGCAAAGTACGTGTCGATGCAGCACTTACAAGACACGAAATATTTGGAAATGGTGATCAAAGAGGCGCAGCGGAAGTACACGTCAGTGCCGTTTGTCGAACGTCACTTAGAAGAAGACGCCACTATATGTATTTTTTTATAATTCATGTAGTTTAAATGTTTAAATATGTTTGTCAGGTGGTATTGATTTTCCAAGAGGTACTACGTTGAGTTTGTATCTTTATGGCGTCCACCACAACGAAAAATATTTTCCAGAGCCGGAAAAATTCGATCCCGAAAGATTTTTGCCTGATAGACAATCAGAAGGGCACAACTATGCCTTCGTGCCTTTCAGTGCTGGTCCTAGAAATTGTGTCGGTACGTAATGTTGCTTATAGTTTTTTCACACGTGAAAATGCGCCGTTTTTCAGGTCAAAAATTTGCAATGCTCGATGTGAAGCTGATAATCGTAAAAATTTTGCAGAAGTTTAAAATTTTGCAAGTGCCTGGCTATAAACCTGAGTTGGGAATGGCTGCACAGTTGAAATCTTACAATGGAATGCGACTGCGGCTTAGGCGAAGAGATACTAAGAACTAACTTGTAGCCACCGTTTTCGGCAGTTAATTAACGTTGTTACATAAATTCAAATGAATAAATTATGAAGAGAAACGATTAAATGTCATTTTCCTTCCAGTAGGGACTTCCGAGAAGGTTTTACATTTTTAAATAAAGAGTGGGGTATTTTCGTCTTTTCGAGAAGAAAAGAGAAAAAAAAATTTATAGGGTCAAGTTTGGAATCGAACGTGCGACGTCCGGTCGGCATTGCTGACTCGTAAGCACTAGACCACGACCGGGATGCCTTACGCTAATGGTAAACTGTTATTATAGCGTGCATTATGTTTTGTAAAAATTTGGACGGTTAGGGAAAAACTCAAAGCGGATTCGTACGCTAATTCTCAGTAAAAATAATATATGCTTGGTGAAATAATAGCTGCTTAGTTTAATTAATAACTGTTCAGTTAAATAAGGAATGCTTAGTAAGAACTCTACGTGCTAAGTATAAAAATTGGTCGAAGGTTATTTCGACAGAACTTCCCTCGCCCGTCAAGTGCACCACAACAAATAATACTCCCGCAGAAGGCACAAAAAATTGAAAAATGAAATATACTTAAAATAGAAAAAGCGAAAAATCAAAAACTTTAAAAATCGAAACATCAAAACACCCAAAAATCGAAACAATAAAAAATCAAAATCCAGAAATTGATAAGTTCTCAATATTCATCAAATCCTGAAAAATTGAGTATTGAAAACTTGAAAAATTGAGAAATCCAAGCATCAAAAAATAGTAAAATCGAAAAATGTAAAATTTAAAAAACCCAAAAATTGAGAAATAAAAGAAGAGAAAAATCAAAAAGTTAATAATTGAAAAATTGAAACATTCTAAATGAAAAAAAAAATCGGTAAACCGAAAAATTGAAAAATCTAAAAATCGAGAAATTGAACGATCTAAAAATTAAACAATTTAAAAATCGAAGAATTGGAAAACCAAAAAATCTAAACCGAGAATTTAAAAAATGGAATAGTTGACAAAGCAAAACATCAAGGAAAACAAAAAAATTAACGGAAAATCTAGAACTTAAAAATTCAAAAATTAAAATACCTATCGAAAAATTGAAAAACCGAGAAATCGAAACATCAAATAATGGAAGAATTGAAGAACCGAAACATTACAAAATCCCAGAACTGAAATACTGAAAAACTGAAAAATGGGAGGAAAATTGAAAAATCGAAAAAGTGAAAAAATTCAAAACTGAAATCTTGAAAAACTGAAAAATGGAAAGAAAATTGAAGAATCGGAAAAGGGAAAAAATCCTAAACTGAAACATTGAAAAATTCAGAAATCGAAAAATTGAAAAATCACAATTGAAGAAAGAATTGAAAAATCGAGAAATAGAGAAATGGGAAAATAAAAAAATCAGTTAATCTAAAAACTGAGAAATCGAAAAATCTAGGAACGTCAAAAATTGAAAACTGAAAAATTAAAAAAATTAAAAATCGTAAAACTGAAACATCGGAAAATTGAGAAATCGAAAAATGAAGAAATTCGAGAAACCGAAAATATGAAGAATCGAGAACTGAAGTATCGTAAAGTTAATAAATTAAAAAACTAAAAATTCAAAAAATCGAGAAATTGAACAATCAAAAAATCAAAACATTGAAATCCCAGTAAGTTGATAAATAGGACAATTTAAAAAACAAATATGTTAAAAATCCAAGAATTGAACAACAATAAAAATCTAAGCCTGAAAACTCAGAAAATCGAATGATCGAGAACTCAAAACATTAAAGAAAACAACAAATCTGAAATTTAAAAATTCAACAAATTGAAAAATCATGGAAGTGAAAAATCGAAAAGTCGAGATAGTAAGAAATCTAAAAACCTAAAACTTTAAAAACTGTAAAATTAAAATATCGAAAAATTTAAAAACCGAGAAAACAATATCAAAAATTTCAAAAGTTGAAGAAACGAAAAATTGCAAAATTCCAAACCTGAAATATTGAAAAACCTAAAAATGGAAGAAAAATTAAAGAATCGAAACAGTGAAAAAATCCCAAACTGAAACATTGAAAAATTGACAAATGGAGAAATGGGAAAATCAAAAAAATCGGTCTAAGAGTTTAGACAGTACTTCCCTCGCTATCGGAAACTTGACGACTGCATGCCTATTATGTTTTTTTTTCACATTAGATTTCAAAGCATTCGGTTTTGTAGTTCCTGATTAAATCAATAAAATAAATTTGCGCATTCATTAAAATTTTTGAGTCACCCTGTATATCCGAATCCAAAAAATATGAATGGAATGATAAATTACAAGAAGAGACTCATCATATTTTGTACATTTTAAATAGGATTATTCGGCACACTTTTGAGCTGACGTCATCAATTTTTTGGAGGGGATAAGCAATTACATTTTGACTAAAAATGTATCATGCTCTTTATAACCTTAAAACATTTGCAAGATTTCAAAGCATTCGGTTCTGTAGTTCCTGATTAAATCAATAAAATAAATTTATGCAGTCATTAATTTTTGGGGTCATCCTGTATATGCAAATCCAAAAAACATGAATGGAAATGATAAATCACAAGAAGAGACTCATCATATTTAATACAATTTAGATAGGATTTATTCAGCAAAATTTTGGGGTGGCGTCATCCATTTTTTAGGAGGGATGAGCAAATATATTTTGATCAAAAATTTACCATGCTTATGATAAATTTAAAACATTTGCAAGATTTCAAAGCATTCGGTTTTGTAACTGCTGATTAAATTAATAAAATAAATTTGCGCATTCATTAAATTTTTTGTCATCCTACATATCCGAATCCAAAAAATATGAATGAGATGATAAATTACAAGAAGAGAAGAGACTCATCATATTTTGTACATTTTAGATAGGATTTATTCAGCAAAGTTTTGAGGTGACGTCATGAATTTTTTAGAGGGGATAAGTAAATATATTGTGATTAAAACGGTCCTGGTTTAATAACAAAAACATATTGTTCGTCTATAAAACAAGTTCGTCTTAGACAAAGTATTCGTAAACAAAATATGTCGTAAAAAAATTTACGTATGCTGGTCCCGACTGCGATTATGGTTTAAATATTTTTTAGAAAATCCTGTCATGGACGTAGAAACATTTGTGACAGCCAAAGAGGTTTTTTTGAGAAAATTATCTTTGAATTTAGCCCAAATTGAAATAGACACTAGGCAACAGGCACATTTGGGCAAAAAAAGATAAATTAGGGTTACGGCTTCAAATTTTGGACGTATTTACAAACTTAGACCGACTACAGCAACAGCTAAAACTGTGGAGTCTCTGTTGTACAGTACATTTAGAGGTAATAGTCATACATACTATGGACAGCAAAATGAGGAAAAAGCTGTCAAGTGTTTTGAAATAAATAAAAATATAAAAACTGAACGGTATGGCTTGTTTATTTCAAAACAATTTCCTTACTTGGCTACTAGTCCAGACAGGGTTCTAGAGGATAAGAGTGCATTCGTCGAAATTAAATGCCCTTCAAAATCGCAAGATTTGTCTCCCGAAGAAGCGGTTAGAAAAAAAAATACTCAAATTTTGTACATTGACAGACAGAGAATTGAAACTAAAAAAAAATCATGATTACTATTTTCAAGTCCAGGGACAAATGCTTGTTACGGGTATTTCACAAGTTTATTTTGTTGTGTGGACACCCAAAGGAATAAATATAGAAAAAATTTATAAAGACGAAGAAATATATGTAAAAACAGATTTTACTTTGGCGCATTATTGGCCAAAATAATTGATTCAAGAAGAAAGAGGAACCTGCATTTGCGAGAGATTTTTTTTAAATAAATAAAATTTGTTTCTATTTTTTTTTGTACTTTAATAATTTATTACGAGTACATTTTTCATCACCAAGACTTGCATATTTTTATTATAAATATATTTTGAAAATGATCTCTCGGCAAATGAAAACATATACGAGCACTTTTTTCGAGTAAACAATGAAGGGAGAAGTTACTGGGCGTAGGGCTTTTTTAAAACACCTCCTTTCTGGGATAAGTAGTGGATACACTTAGCTACTTATACGTGTTAAACAAAAGCTGTATTTTATATATTTTTTATTATTATTATAAATATGTTTATTAGTTTCATTAATTAAGAAAGCAAAATATATATTAACAATAATATTACAACGAATTTTTAGTAATCATGTGTATTGAATTCAGGATTCTGAGTGGAGTAAAAATATTATAGTTCCCCAGTTTTAATTCGGTTTTATGATAGTACCTCATTGCGTAAAAGTTAATAGATTACTACGGCCGGTCCTGGCGGCTCGTTATAAAACTGAGTTCTTTGCCATAAATTAGAAAAATCAGCCGAGAACGCTAACAATCAGCTTATGGTAGAGCAGGCGATAAGGGTTTTACCTGGAAAGCCGCTTCCGTAAATTTTAGTGGCGCTCCTATCGGCAAAGTACTGAACTAACTGCTCTAATTCTGTCGAATTGATACCCACTTTTTTCAATAATTGTTAGTTTTTGTTAAAAACTCTGCTAACCAATAGATATTCCTGTTAAAATTATTCAACGTATTTTGCATTAATTTGTGGTCCACCAGCTTCGGAGATTACATGTCTAATAAAAATAGATACAGACAGCAGACAGATAGATAGTCGGACGGATACGGGTCATGAAACGTCGAGACTGTTTTCTGCGTACTGCAAGGGTCATGAAACGTCGAGAGAACTTAAGGCGAAAAAACGCGATTAATTAAAGCGACCAAAAAAATGACAACAAACACGAAAGGAAAATCCAACAAAAAATGGGACCTATAATGATCTAAAGTAAAATGAGTCAAAAAAGACTGAGAAAAAAGACAACGATGCCACACAAAAAAGTAAACAAAAAATATATACATAAAAAAATGTCGAGAAAGACGACAAAAAGGGAAATAGGTAAAGCAACACGTCATCACGAAATTTTGTTACTTAGAAATTATTATTAACTTTTGGAGGTTATTAAAATTCGCAAATTAAATTTCACAATTTTTCACACATTTTTGTTCTCTCTTTCGGGCAGTGGCGGCTCGTGACTGTCTGATGTGGTGAGGCGATGATAGAAGTTTGACAATAATATTATCAATAATAAAATTAATTAAATTAATGTGATTAATGCATATTGCTTGGTCTTAGTAGTTAGTAATGATAGAAGTCTTGCTTGAATACCGTTCATTTCCCAGTCAGTAGTGGGTCCTAATAATAGTAATAATAATAATAATAATATTAACACCCATAACACATTTAATCAACAATGTTTTACAAGTCAAAATTTTGTTTAAACTAGCACTTTCTTGGAGGGATTCGGCATTAGTTGTGTTCCTTTCTAAATCTTTTAAGCCCATGAAATTTTTAATGTGTACTTTGGAACTTTTATGTAACTTTGCACTTCGAATGAAATTCTTTAAATCGTTATATCCCGGAGACGTCGTCCATGTGTTTTTTACATTGCCTAAGAGTAGACACGGCCAACAATATAGACTTTCAGCATAAATATTACGGCTACGGCAGAGCCGTTTATGGTTCGTACCAGGCTGGTTTAAAAGACCTGTAGTACTGATGACATAGTCGCTTATCAATGGAAGTTAACGGTTTTGACTGTTCGATATTTAGCAAAATTTACCGACGTTCTAACTCGGTTCGTCGTGAAAACGGCGTTTCAAGAAGCAACATGACAATATCGTACTCGGGATTCATTTTTCACTCACCTGTACCCTGTACCTATGAAAGAGACAAAAACACGAAACACCAGCTCCTGGACTTTTATTCACGTTTATGCTAATTACCCACGCACCCTGCACCCCTTCCATTCTGTAAAATAAATGGGAAAATGATTTAATGGGTCCGCCGAAATTGGCCGAGAAGCATCGAAGATATCGCCTCAGTTCCGAGCGAATTCATGTATAGGAGTATAGCAGCTGAGTCATGGAAATCCGTGTCTGTGATTGGGCTTCATTGGCGCAAGTGAACCGACGCTCTGGCCGCTTCAGTTAAAGAATTCGGGGCATAAATCGTACAGTATTCAACGGAAAATGTCCGCAGAAAGTGTAAAAAATAAAAAATAATCTACAGATTTACCATTTCAACATATTTTTGTAACTAAAAATGCATTGAAAGCTCTTTTTTAATTATAAATTAAGTCAATCTGTTCTTAAGATATATGCTGTGAGGCGCCGCCTCACTTGCCTCATATGACGAGCCGCCACTGCTTTCGGGTATATTGGTACATAGGCAAATACATATTATTATCATCATTATTATTAATTCTTATCGTCATCATTAGCGTCACCTTCTGATACAACGTTCAATCCATCACTTCCGACCTTGTCGTAATTTTGGTGCCGAAGATTATCAACTGTTGCCAATGTACTTAAGACCGAGACGACTTTTCGTTTGTATCTATTCTTCGACTAGTGCGCAGCCAAATGTTAACATCGATTTGAACAATGTTTTTTGTCGTGGTTTTAACCGTGCTTTCCTTGCCGTTCCTTTGGTGGTATTTTTTTCTGCAAAAATTTAAATCGCTTAGTCTCATTCCAGGTCCGAGGCTTCTTCCAATTGTCGGAAATGCATTCGATATTGGCGACTCACCCACAGGTTAGTTTTTACGTTTCCCCCTCTTCCTGTTCTTTCGTATCATTCCTCCTCTTTTGAAATATTTATTTTTGGTTTACTATTCGAAGCGCCTGTTCCAGGTCTGTTCAACAATTGCGCAAAGTTGCTAAATCAGTATGGAGACGTTTTCAAATTATTCATCGGCAATGAATGCAAAGTTTTCATTGCAAATGCAGATTTTCTCGAGGAAATTATGAGTTCCAACGTACACATCAAGAAATCGAAAGCATACGACTCTGTGAAGCCTTTTTTGAACGATGGACTGTTAACGAGCACGGGTAAGGCCACCATAGCACGTAATTTTTTTCCTTACCGTTAATTTAACTCAGGATCGAAGTGGAAAAAACGCAGGAAGCTGATAACGCCAACATTTCATTTTAAAATATTGGATCAATTCCTTGAAGTTTTTAACTCAAGTACTGACATCCTTATCGCGAAATTGTCGAGCGAAGTCGGAAAGGACTGGACAGACATTTACCCTTACATAAATCTATTTTCGCTTGACGTAATCTGCGGTAAGTCCTCACTTTTTTTTAATAATGTAATAAAAATTGTAACAACAGAGACTGCAATGGGTGTGAAAATTTCCTCTCAAGAAGGCAAAAATTCCGAATATGTACAGGCTCTTTTTCATTATCTTGACAACACGACAGTACGTGGTTTTTCTGCGTGGAAACGATTCGACTTTCTTTTTAAATTTGCGGCGGAATATCCTTTACATGAAAAAAGCTTAGATACTTTGCAAAAATTTCCAACTGGCCTCCTAGAAAAACGTCGTTTAGAAAAAAGTCAAGAAGTCGTAGAAAATACTTCAGATATTGGAATGAAACGAAGAGTAGCATTGTTGGACTTGTTGCTCGAATCAGAAGACTTAACTAACGACGACATTAAGGAAGAAATTAGTACTTTTATGTTTGCGGGTCACGATACCACGACTTCTGCAGTTACCTTTGCATTGCTAGCATTGGCAGAAAATCCAGAAATACAGCAAACGGTGCACGAGGAAATTTTGGCGGTAGTTGGCGACGAAAAGTACGTGTCGATGCAGCACTTACAAGACACCAAATATTTGGAAATGGTAATCAAAGAGGTGCAGCGGAAGTACAGCGTAGTGCCGTTGGTCGAACGCCAGTTAGAAATGGATGCTACTATATGTAATATTTTTTTATTCAAGAGGTTTCAATATTTAATTCAATATTTAAATATGTTTGTTAGGTGGTATTGATTTTCCTAGAGGTGCTACGTTGAGTTTGTATCTTTATGGCGTTCACCACAACGAAAAATATTTTCCCGATCCGGAAAAATTCGATCCCGATAGATTTTTGTCTCATAGACAATCAGAAAGACACAACTACGCATTCGTGCCTTTTAGTGCTGGTCCTAGAAATTGTGTTGGTACGTATTGTGGTTTAGTTTTTTAAATACGTTAGAATGCGTCGTCTTTCAGGTCAAAAATTTGCGATGCTCGCCATGAAGGTGATAATCATAAAAATTCTGAAGGAGTTTAAAATTATCCAAGTGCCTGACCACAAACCTCAGCTGGGAATGGCTGCAGTGTTGAAATCTTACAATGGAGTGCGGATTCGGCTTATGCGAAGAGATACTGAGTAATAACTTGTAGCTTATAGCCACCTTTTTCGACAATTAATCAACGTTGTTACTTAAATTCAAATGTATAAATTCTGAAGAAAAACGATTAAATGTCTTTATGCTACTTCTAAGCCGATTGCTTTGAAATTTAGCAGTGTTTTGAGGTTATCGTGTGATAAATCGGTAACCAAAAGTTGTCTTTTCAAAAGTTTTATGACGCCACCTAAACATGTACTGAGTGAATCATATTTAAAATATCAATTTCAGAAGGTAACAAAAATGCCACTGAAAAGATGATTTTTTAGATTGTTTTTTTTTTCTTAAAAATTTTTGTACTTCTAAATTAAAAAAGTTGATTTAGTCATCACGACTCATTGAGATTGTAGCTGATTATTAGGTTCGCATTTTTACATCAGGAAATTTCTTAATAACTCCATTATTCTCAATTACAGAAACAGGTCACTCTTGTTTTAAAGTCCTCGACGCCAAGTTATTTACAATGGAATTAGAATTACTAGAATTCAGTCTTAAAGGGTGTTTCGATAAGTGCACATCAGAAAAATCGTCAGCTCGTAATGTTAACATTTATTGAAATCGTGCTTTTGGTTGTAGTTTCAACGGTCCTCTGCGTACCGTTTGTGTGGTGGTATTGTTTTTTGAAAAAGTTTCAATCTCTTAATGTCATTCCTGGCCCAAGACCTCTTCCACTTCTTGGAAATGCATTCGATGTTGGCAACACACCTAAATGTGAGTTTTTACGTTTCTCGCTCTTGTTGTTCTTTTCAATTATTTCGCTTCTCTTCTGAATTATTTATTTCAGCTCTGTTCAACAACTGTGTAAATTTACTAAGTTAGTATGGCGATATTTTCAAAATATTCATCGGCGACGAATGCAAAGTTTTCATTGCAAATGCAGAGTTTCTCGAGGAAATCATGAGTTCGAATGTGCACATCACCAAATCGAACGCATACAAGTTTATAAAACCTCTGAAATTTGGACTAGTAACGAGCACGGGTAAGGCCAACATCTCATGTATTTTTTTTCCTTACCGAGAATTTAAATAAGGATCAAAGTGGAAACAACGTAGAAAATTAATAACCCCAACGTTTCATTTCAAAATGTTGGATCAATTCCTGGAAGTTTTTAACGCAAGTACTGACATTCTGGTCTCGAAGCTGTCCAGTGAAGTCGGAGAGGACTGGACAGACATTTACCCTTACATAAATCTACTTTTGCTTGATGTATTTTGCGGTAAGAGTCCAATTTTTATTTTTTGAGCGTAAACTAAGTAAGTATTGTAATCGGATCCATCGGCCTAGGAAGTCTTGTAAATTTTCAACTTTTTATGACCCCTAAACTACGAAGAAATTAGTTGCCGGTTTCCGTTTATCTGTCTGTCTGTTTGTCGCCTCTCCGGATTTTTATTAAACAAATAATTTTCGACCGAAATTACTGGACCGATTATTTATTGTACATTCTACATGTTTTATTAGGCCGCACTTCAGGGACAAGGGAAGTTCTGTCGAAATAACTTTCGACAATTTTTTTTTAATATTTTAATAAAAATGTAACAACAGAAACCGCAATGGGGGTGAAAATTTCCTCTCAAGAGGGCAAAAATTCGGAATACGCACAAGCTCTTTTTCGCTATTTAGACATCGTGATAGCCCGTGCATTCTCTGCGTGGAAAAGATTCGATTTTCTTTTTCAATTTTCCTCGGAATATCCCCTGCAAGAAAAATACTTGGAGACTTTGCAAACATTTTCGAGGAACATCATAGAGAAACGTCGCTTTGAAAAAAGTCAACAAGTCGTAGAAAAAACGCCAGACATTGGAATCAAACGAAATGCGGCATTGTTGGACCTGTTGCTCGAATCAGACTTAACTAACGACGATATTGAAGAAGAAATGAATACTTTTATGTTTGGCGGTTTCGATTCCACGACTTCTTTGGTCACGTTTGCGTTGTTAGCACTGGCGGATAATCCGAAAATACAACAAAACGTGTATAAGGAAGTTTTAGAGGTAGTTGGTGAGGAAAAGTACGTGTCGATGCAGCACTTACAAGACACGAAATATTTGGAAATGGTGATCAAAGAGACACAGCGGAAGTACACGTCAGTGCCAATTGTCGAACGTCACTTAGAAGAGGACGCCACCATATGTATTTTTTTATAATTTACGTAGTTTAAATGTTTAAATTTGTTTGTCAGGTGGTGTTGATTTTCCAAAAGGTACTACGTTGACTTTGTATCTTTATGGCGTTCACCACAACGAAAAATATTTTCCCGAACCGGAAAAATTCGACCCCGAAAGATTTTTGCCTGATGGACAATCAGAAGGGCACAACTATGCCTTCGTGCCTTTCAGCGCTGGTCCTAGAAATTGCGTTGGTATGTAATGTTGCTTACAGTTTTTTGACACGTGAAAATGTGCCGTTTTTCAGGTCAAAAATTTGCACTGCTCGATGTGAAGTTGACAATCATAAAAATTTTGCAAAAGTTTACAATTTTGCAAGTGCCTGGCTATAAACTGATTTGAGAATGGCGGCACAGTTGAAATCTTACAATGGAATGCAACTTTGGCTTAGGCGAAGAGATCCTGAGAAATAACTTGTAGCCTTTTCCGGCAATTAAACAACGTTGCTACTTAAATTCAAATGAATAAAGTATGAAAAAAAACGATGAAATGTCATTTTCCTGTTACAAAATCATTTAATCCAAAAAACGCAAAGCGGAAAAAATGTGACAAAAAAAAGAGCTAAAAGAAAAGAATCCAAAACCGTCACGTATTCATTTTTACTTCCCGAGCGTAAGCAAAGGAAGTATTGTAATCGAGTCCGTCGGCCGACTCTCGATCTTTCATGACCCCTAGAAGACGAAGAAATAGGTCTCCCATTTCCGTCTGTCTGTCCGTCCGTCTGTCCGTCCGTCTGTCTGTCCGTCTGTCCGTCTGTTGTCCCGGATTTTTATTAGACAGATAATCTCCGAAAGTACTCGACCGATTGTTGTGAAATTTTGTACTTATATTAAGAATATCATGTAGATGGTAAAACGCTAACCAAAATTTGTCTAATCATCCCCACCACTAATGCGATGACGTCACTTCAAAATTGTACATAGTAAATGGGTTTTCAATTGTATAAAATAACATAGTCCTACACATGTCGTTTACGACTCCGAATTGAGTTTTTACCGGAAACGTCCAGATTTTTTGAAAAAAAATCAAAATTATAAAACAACATTTTGAAATTTAATTTTTAATCTGCTAACCAGAATGCTTTGAAATGTTGCAGATGTTTTAAGGCTATAAAGAGCATCATAAATCTTTAGTCAAAAAATATTTGCTTATCCCCTCCAAAAACTTGATGACGTCAGCTCAAAAGTTTGTGGAATAAATCATATCTAAAATGTACAAAATATGATGAGCCTGTACTTGTGATCTATCACTCCATTCATATTTTTTGGATTTGCATATACAGGATGACTCAAAAAAATTAATGAATGCGTAAATATATTTTATTGATTTAATCAGGAACTACAAAACCGAATGCTCTGAAATCTTGCAGATGTTTTAAGGTCATAAAGAGCATAATAAATGTTTAGTCAAAATATATTTGCTTATCCCCTCCAAAAACTTGATGACGTCAGCTCGAAAGTTTGCCGAATAAATCATATCTAAAATGTACAAAATATGATGAGTCTGTACTTGTCATTTATCACTCCATTAATATTTTTTGGATTTGCATATACAAAGTGACTCAAAAAAATTAATGAATGCGTAAATATATTTTATTGATTTAATCAGGAACTACAAAACGGAATGCTCTGACATCTTGCAGATGTTTTAAGGTTATAAAGGGCATAATAAATGTTTAGTCAAAATATATTTGCTTATCCCCTCCAAAAACTTGATGACGTCAGCTCGAAAATTTGCCGAATAAATCATATCTAAAATGTACAAAATATGATCAGTCTGTACTTGTGATCTCTCACTCCATTCATATTTTTTGGATTTGCATATACAGGGTGATTCAAGAAAATAAATGAAAGCGTAAATTTATTTTACTGATTTACTCAGGAACTACAAAACCGAATGCTTCGAAATCTTGAAGACATTTTAAAATTATCATAAGCATGGTAAATTTTTGATCAAAACGTATTTGGTCGTCCCCCCTAAAAAATTTATGATGTCACCACAAAATTTAGCTGAAAAAATCCTATCTAAAATGTACAAAATATGGTGAGTCTCTTCTTGTGATTTATCATTCCATTCAAATTTTTTCGATTTGCATATACAGGGTGACTCAAAAAAATTAATGAATGCGTAAATTTATTTTATTGATTTAATCAGGAACTACAAAACCGAATGCTTTGAAATCTTGCAGATGTTTTAAGGTTATAAAGAGCATAATAAATTTTTAGTCAAAATATATTTGGTCATCTTCTACAAAAAACTGATGACGTCAGCTCAAAAGTTTGCCGAATAAATCGTATCTAAAATGTACAAAATATGATGAGTCTGTACTTGTGATTTATCATTCCATTCATATTTTTGGATTTGCATATGCAGGGTGACTCAAAAAAATTAATGAAGGCGTGAATTTATTTTATCGATTTAATCAGGAATTACAAAACCGAATGCTTTGAAATCTTGGGAATATTCTAAAGTTATTATAAGCATGGTAAACTTTTGTTCAAAATGTATTTGTTCATCCCTCCTAAAAAAATTGATGACGTCACCCTTAAATTTTGCTGAATAAATCCTATCTAAAATGCAAAAAATATGATGAGTTTGTACTTGTGATTTATCATTCCATTCATATTTTTTAGATTTTCTTAAGAGGTGGTTCAAAAAAATTAATGAAGTCAATTTATTTTATTGATTAAATTAAAGGCAACACTTATTATTAGTATTACACCCCAACCAACCCAATTTGGTAGACACAAAATTTGTTAAAGGAAAAACTCGGTTGAAACATAAGGGGAGCACGCTTATTTACATCGACTTTAACATTACAGACCTGCATTTGTTTTATGCGTTCACTTGATTCCGCGAATGTGAAATAGACATGTTTATAATCAACCAATTGTGAATTTCACCGTCAAGAATTAAAATAAAACCCAATGTTTTATATAATAAGCGGAAGTCGAAGCAATAAAACCGATTGTCGTTTTGTTTACAGTTTCTCTGTTTGACTCTCACGTATGGTGTTACGCCTGTCATCTTAAATTAAGAATGTTTATACATACACGATTTTCAGTTGCCTCTGATACGTATACGTGAGTAAATTGTTTCGTTATTTTATTGATTATTACAAATCAATATTCAAACGACCCAATTCATTTTCCCGAAAATTTGAGAATATAATAATTTTATTCTTAGTATTACACTACATCTATGCCAACTGATATACGTGTCCTTGCAAAAATGTTGATGACGTCATCGCATTTTTTTTTTAAATTCCCACTACAAAAATGTAATGAGAAAAAAAACACAATAGGCATGCAGTCGTCAAGTTTCCGACAGCGAGGGAAGTACTGTCTAAACTCTTTAGACCAATTTTTTTGTATAGTGTGTATCCAATTTTTTTTGTTATTACCTTGTTTATGTTAAGTTTCTTCCTAGCTTTTGCATTTCTATGTTAAATTTATTGTTTTTCATGTTCTGCATTTAATAATTATTTTGTAAGGTCGAGTGGAATAGCCTACGGCTAGACTCCGCCTAATCATGTATTATTATTATTATTATATCATGAATAAAGTCCTATGTATGTATGTGTATATGCGGCAAAGTAATAGTTAATACACTGAAATTATTTTTTAATAATGAGGATAATCAGTAACAAGTTTTTCTTCCAATTAAGTACGTTTGACGGCAATTCGTGCGTCAAACAACGCATAATGCCTAATCGGAGACATCGCTCGAGTTTAAAAATTGTCACCTCAAAGACAAAGATCGCTGTCAAACTACTTCATTACAAAAGTTGTATTAGACCATAATCTTCAACTCTGCCACTGACTGATTTCAAAATCTTCCACAATAAAAAAATTTTGTATGTTGAAAATTTCGACACCTTTTGGGCAAGTAACATTTCAGTGATTCATTTTGTCTAGTCCGAATGGAAGTTGGATCTCATTTGAAGAGAGATAATATAATATCTGCTAAGATAAGATTGATTTCGGTAAATGACATATCCCCTATGATAAAAAGGGTGGGCGGGCGGGGCTAAATCTTGCTAAGATAGGACTGAACAATATTAAGAGTAGTCACAGGAATGAGGAAGGGGTGGGTGGGCGGGGTTACTGCTTGCTCATAAAACTATAAAAAATTGGTTCAAATTTACTTCAACAAAATTTATCTCGCCCTTGAAGTCAATTCTAACAAATTCCATTTCTTTGAAAAATGGTAGAAAATTTGTGTTTTCTGATAACCTTTATACCGGATGTCGGGAAAATGAAATTAGCTCTCCGCCTCTACGTTTAAAATGTTCGCAGTTAATTCTAGGTCCCCTGATGTTTTATTTTCGGATAAATCTAAAGGACTCTGGTGTTTTGTTGCTGGATGGACTCGTAAAAATCTTTCGAGCTGTTACTGTTTTACTTTTCTGAAAAAGTCTTGAGTATCGCAGTGTTTGGGTACGCATGGTGTATTATTTTGGGAACCCTTGAGATTTTTTTTAATTATTTAAAACAGTTTTGGGGGACTTTGGTGTTCTATTTTTGGAAACTTCTGACCACACGCCCTCTCTTTTCTTAGCGGGTATGTTACTTGCCAAAATCAGTCTTGTCATAGCAAGTACTAGCGCCGCCCACCCACCCTTTCTTTTCTTAAAGGGTATGTCATTTGCCAAAATCATCAAGCAATGATGGTTAACTTTTACAAAATTTGGAAACATTACGAACTTATAAACATTTAACACGAATAATAGCGGAATGACGAAAACTTTATGATAATTTGTGTAAGATTGATGTATCAACTTCTTCAGACATCGCTAGGTTTTTGAATAATTGGCAAAACCGCCGATAATTTTCCCATATAAAATGCATGGCTTAAGTCTCAAGAGTCAAGTCCAAGCGGAACGAACTTTAGACTTAAAAAACACACCGCACCTTTCAAACTGTGTTATGTGTCCTTGATCAAGTGATGACGTTATCACAAAATTTTGTTACGGAGAAATTATTTTAACTTATGGGGGTTATTAAAATTGGCAAAATTGAATTTCACAATTTTTAACACATTTTTGTTCATATTGTCTCTCTTTCAGGGGTATTGGTATACCTATCCGAAAATAAATATTATTATCATTATTATTAATTCTTGTCGTTGTCATTCGCGTCGGCTTCTGATGCAACGGTCAATGCATTACTTTCGACCTTGTCGTAATTTTGGTACTGCAGACTATCAACTGTTGGCAATGAAACCAGGCCGGAGACGACTTTTCACTTTTATCTATTCTTCGACAAGTGCGCAGCGAAATGTTAACGTCAATTTGAACAATGTTTTTTGTCGTGGTTTTAACCGTGCTTTCCTTGCCATTCTTTTGGTGGTATTTTTTTCTGCAAAAATTTAAATCTCTTAGTGTCATTCCTGGTCCGAGGCCTCTTCCACTTATTGGAAATGCATTCGATATTGGCGGCACACCCACAGGTTAGTTTTTACGTTTCTCTCTCTTGCTATTCTTTCCCATCACTCCTTTTTTTTTGAAATATTTATTTTTGTTTACTACTCAGAGAGACTATTCCAGCTCTGTTTAACAATTGCACAAAGCTGCTAAATCAGTATGGAGACATTTTCAAAGTATTCATCGGCAACGAATGCAAAGTTTTCATTGCAAATGCAGATTTTCTCGAGGAGATCATGAGTTCGAACGTCTACATCACCAAATCGAACGCATACAACCTTCTGAAGCCTTTTTTGAACGATGGACTATTAACGAGCGGGGGTAAGGCCACCATCGCATGTAATTTTTTTCCTTACTGTTAATTTAACGAAGGATCGAAGTGGAAAAAACGCAGGAAGTTGATCACGCCAACATTTCATTTTAAAATATTGGATCAATTCCTTGAAGTCTTTAACTCATGTACTGACATTCTTGTCACGAAATTGTCGAGCGAAGTCGGAAAGGATTGGACAGACATTGACCCTTACATAAATCTATTTTCGCTTGACGTAATCTGCGGTAAGTCGCCACTTTTTTTTTAATAATTTATAAAAATGTAACAATAGAGACCGCAATGGGGGTGAAAATTTCCTCTCAAGAAGGCAAAAATTCCGAATATGTACAGGCTCTATTTCGCTATATTGAGAACACGGCAGTACGTGTTTTTTCTGCATGGAAGAGATTCGACTTTCTGTTTAAATTTGCGCCGGAATATCGTCTACATGAGAAATCCTTAGTTATTTTGCAAAAATTTTCGACTGACGTCATAGAGAAACGTCGTTTAAAAAAATGCCAAGAAGTCGTAGAGAAAACTTCAGATGTTGGAATGAAACGAAGAATAGCATTGTTGGATTTGTTGCTTGAATCAGACGATTTAACTAACGACGATATTAAAGAAGAAATTAACACTTTCATGTTTGCGGGTCACGATACCGCGACTTCTGGGGTTACCTTTGCATTGTTAGCATTGGCAGAAAATCCAGAAATACAGCAAAAGGTGCACGATGAAATTTTGGCAGTAGTTGGCGAGGAAACGTACGTATCGATGCAGCACTTACAAGACACCAAATATTTGGAAATGGTAATCAAAGAGGTGCAGCGGAAGTACAGCCCAGTGCCGTTTGTCGAACGCCGACTAGAAATGGACGCTAGTATATGTAATTTTTTTTATTCGAGGAGTTTAAATATTTAAATATGTTTGTCAGGTGGTGTTCATTTTCCTAGAGGTACTACGTTGTCTTTGTATCTTTACGGCGTCCTCCACAACGAAAAATATTTTCCCGATCCGGAAAAATTCGACCCCGACAGATTTTTATCTCATCGACAATCAGAAAGACACAACTACGCATTCGTGCCTTTTAGTGCTGGTCCTAGAAATTGTGTTGGTACGTATTGTCGTTTAATTTTTTAAATACGTTAAAATGTGTCGCCTTTCAGGTCAAAAATTTGCAATGCTCGACGTGAAGCTGATTATCATAAAAATTTTGAGGAAGTTTAAAATTTTCCAAGTGCCTGACTACAAACCCCAGCTGGGAATGGCTGGAGTGTTGAAATCTTACAATGGAATGCGGATTCGGCTTATGCGAAGAGGTACTGAGAAATAATTTGCAGACAGAATTATTTTCAAACACCGTTTGCTGTTTTATTCACCACGAATAAAGAACTTTTTACACGCTGTGAATGTTTCTACCAATTCCGATACTTCTCACAGAATCAAACTGGAACGAAAAGACTCCTGTAAACGAGTCATCCTAATTGTGTGCACTTACTTGGTCCTGACAAATGTCAAACACAGGTTTGACGCACTTTACGAAACTTGCTGTCGCATTCCTATTTACATTTGTTACGGATCCATAATAGCAATCTTTGCTAATTTTCGGTAACCAATAAGAAAGATTTATGTCTTTTTTCAAAGGAATAAGGTGGTTAATATCCTTCCTAATGTCAGGAATACGATCAACCAAATTGTTAAAAACGGGGTTACAGGTTTTAGTAATCTGAAAAACCTGGAACTATAGAAATATTCAAATTCGAGGAAAACCTACTTGAGCTGTTGTGAGGACCAAAAGAAGCCCGTCGAAGTGCTTGAAACCTTCTTCGCCATTTTTATATTTCGTGTTGAGAAAAACAATGTAAATTTCCAAAAATCTGTACACAGTTATTTTTATAGGTTTGGTGATTTTAATTTACCTGTCACTGTCCTCAATGTCACTATGCTGCGATGGGAAATGGAAGTGGAATTGGACGAATTTGTAAGTACCGTTCAGACCATCTCCAGAAATTGTGACGGGTGTGCACGGGTCTTTCGAATATACAGCAACTACGAATAATTAATCATATTGGTACCTACGTAATTTCACACTCGAGTAAAAAACCTGTGTAATTTTCATTTATAATGTCCGCTTTGAAACTTGTGTTGACGTTTCGACTGTATTCTATATTCTTATCGACCCGTTTTGTAACAATGTTTATCTCTGGAATTAAGTTAACCAAAATAAAGCATGAAAAGTCAATTTTTGCTACTTGCTTATTGGAGGTAATTCATTGCCAAGCGTTTGGTTAGTGATCATGAAAATAACTAAAAAAAAAAAAGGGTTAATGAACAAGAACGAAGTACGTAAGCGGTACTTACACCCTAAGGTTTGTACAAGAATCAAGTTTAGAGGCTTCATTTTCAAACAAACTAGTGGCGAAGCTACTGGACTGCATTTTATTGACTTGACGCATTTATAGGTGAAAAATAATGTTGTATAATTACAACTCTAGTTTGATAAAGTACAGGTAAAAGTAGTAAATATAAGAATACTAATCAACAGCAATAACAATAAATAATACCGGCTGCTAACAAAGTACTAACTTACTCTTATTCCTCTTGACGAATAAATGTTTTTTAACAATGTTAAAAAGTAACACAGTGTTGAACTTGTGGTTTATGAATCCGTGATGAATTTTATTTTTAGACAACATTGTACAGCAATTTTTCGATTTGTCAATTTTTCAACAATCGGTTTGCCAATTTTTCTGTGTTTCAATGGTTTTTACTTTGTAACAAACACAAATCACAACCTTCGACCAATTTTTACTTCCCGAGCGTAAGCAAAGGAAGTATTGTAATCGAGTCCGTCGGCCGACTCTTTACTTTTACGTTTTCTCGATCTTTCATGACCCCTAGAAGACGAAGAAATAGGTCTCCCATTTCCGTCCGTCTGTCCGTCTGTCCGTCTGTCCGTCTGTTCGTCTGTCCGTCTGTCCGTCTGTCCGTCTGTCTGCTGTCCCGGATTTTTATTAGACAGATCTCCGAAAGTACTGGACCGATTGTTGTGAAATTTTGTTCTTATATTAGGAATATCATGTAGATGGTAAAACGCTAACCAAAATTTGTCTAATCATCCCCACCACCAATGCGATGACGTGACTTCAAAATTGTACATAGTAAATGGGTTCTAAATTGTATAAAATAACATAGTCCTACACATGTAGTTTACGACTCCGAATTGAGTTTTTCCCAAAACGTCCAGATTTTTGGAAAAAAAAATCAAAATTATAAAACAACATTTTGCAATTTAATTTTGAATCTGCTAACCCGAATGTTTTGAAATGTTGCAGATGTTTTAAGGTTATAAAGAGCATAATAAATTTTTACTTAAAACATATTTGGTTATCTTCTCCAAAAAACTGATGACGTCAGCTCAAAAGTTTGCCGACTAAACCCTATCTAGAATATACAAAATATGATGGGTCCTGTATTTGTAACTTATCATTCCATTCATATTTTTTGAATTTGCATATACCGGGTGACTCAAAAAAAAATGAATGCGTAAATTTATTTTATTGGTTTACTCAAGAACTACAAAACCGAATGCTTTGAAATCTACTGCGAAAAAAAACATAATAGACATGCAGTCGTCACGTTTCCGACAGCGAGGGAAGTATTGTCTAAACTCTTTAGACCAATTTTTTGATTTCTCTTTTTCGATTTCTCGATTTTCAACTTTTCGATTTTTCAAGTTTTCGATGTTTCAGTTTTAGGATTTTTCAATTTTGGGAATTTTCAATTTTTGGATTCTTCAATTGTTCGACATTTTATTTTTTTTTTTAATTTTAGATTATTTCTATTTCTTGAACTTTCGATTTTTGGACTTCTCGCTTTTAGATTTTTCTGTTTTTCAATTTTTTTTTTAGTTTTAAAATGTTTGATTTTTTAAGTTTTCAGATTTTCGGTTTTTAAATTTTTCAATTTTCACTTTCCCGATTTTCCAATTTATCGAGATTTCCATGTTTCGATTTTTTAATTTTTCGATTTATCGGGTTTTTTAAGTTAGACGTTCCAACTGCAAATTTTTAGATTTTTTATTGTTCGAATTCTGAACTTCTCGGTTTCTCAGATTTTCGATTTATAGATATTTCAATTTTTCAATTGCGATTTTTCGATTTCTTGGTTTTTCGATTTTTCGACTTTCCGATTGTACGGTTTTTCAATTTTTCGGAATTACAGTTTTGGTATTTTTTAATTTCCTGATTTTTAAATTTTCGAGTCTTCAATTTTTCGAATTTTTAAACGTTAAATTCTTCACGTTTTTGATGTTTCGATATCTGTATCTGCCGATTTTTCTACTTCTCGCTTTTAGATTTTTCCGTTTTTCAATTATTCGACATTTCAGTTTGAGGGTTTTTCAATTTGTCGATTCTTTAAATTCTCGTTTTTTCGAATTTTCAACTTCTCGATTTTTTACTTTTCGATTTCCCGATTTTCCGATATTTCAATTTTACTATCTCAGTTTTTCAATTCTTCGTTATTTCAATTTTAGGCGTTACGAAATTTTAGATTTTTGATTTTTCGGTTTTTTGATTTCCCAATTTTTCAATACTTTGATTTCTCTACTTCTCGATTTCTCGATTTTTCAATTTTTAGATTTTTCAAGTTTTCGATATTTCAGCTTTAGAATATTTCAATTTTGGAATTTTTAGATATTTCGATTTTTGAATTTTTCGATTCTTGAATTTTTCGACATTTTAATTTTTCGTTTTTTAAATTTCAGATATTTCTATTTCTTGATCTTTCGATTAATGGACCTCTCGCTTTTAGATTTTCCGTTTTTCAATTTTTTAATTTGTAAAATTTTTGATTTTTCAAGTTTTCAATTTTCGGTTTTTAAATTTTACAATTTTCACTTTTATGATTTTCCAATTTATCGAGATTTCGTTCGTTTTTCGATTGTTCGAATTCTGGGCTTCTCGATTTGTCAAATTTTTGATGTTTAGTTTTCGAGATGTTTCAATTTTGCAATTTCGATTTTTCGATTTCTCGATATTTCGATTTTTAGGCTTTTCGATTGTGCGGCTTATCAATTTTTCGACATTACAGTTTTTTGATTGTTCAATTTCTCGATTTTTACTTTTTCGATTATTCAATTTTTCGATTTTAAACTTTTTAGCATGTATGTACACATTTCAATTGTTCGAATTTTAAAATTTTTCGACTTCTAATTATTTTGATTTCTCGATTTTTCAATTTCTCGACATTTCAGTCTTGGTATTTTGCAATTTTTCGATTTCTAGATTTTCGATTCTTCAATTTTTCGATTTTTTAATTGTAGCTTTGTCGATTTCTCGATTTTTGAAGTTTTAGATTTCTCAATTTTTCAACATTTCAATTTTGGGAATTTTGCTAAATCTATTTTTTTTTCAATTTTTCGATTTCGATTGATCTTTCGACTTTTCAGATTTCGATTTTTCGGTTTTTCAATTTTCGATTTTAAAATTTTTTTAGTTTTTCGGTTGTTCTACAGTCTAGGTTCTAGGCTACCAGGAACACATGTCACATAATTATTTTTTCTTTTTCGTTTCTCTTACCAGCTATTGCGATATATTTTTTAAATATTCAAATTCGTATCAGTGACAATAATTGTTTAGTTTTTACTGTTGGGAAAGCATTTTTTCGGAATCTAAATAACTACTTGGTGCTGATTAATGAAATTACATTTATTACAAATATTTTTTGATATTTAGGTAAGTATATTGTGAAGTCTTTGTTGTTGCATTTATCTGAAAATCCAGATTATTTCAGTTTCGCATTAAATTTTTTTAGCCCTTTTTACTTACGGAAGTATAGTAATCGAAACCATCGGACGAATGCCCACTTTTATATTTTCTCGACGTTTCATGACCCCTACACTACGAAAAAGTAGTCTCCCGTTTCCGTCCGTCTGTCTGTCTGTCTGTCTGTCTTTCTGGTGTCTGTATCCAATTTTATTAGACACGTAATCTCCGAAACTACTGCACCGATTGTTGTTAAATTTTGTATGTATATTAGAAATATCATGTAGATGGTTAAATGCTAACTAAAATTTTGTTAATCATTTTCACCAACAATTTGATGACGTCATTTAAAAGAATTATATGTTTATAAATATGCACGGTATAATAACAGTTTATCATTAGCGAAAGGCATCTCGGTAATGGTATAGTGGTTACGAATCAGGAATAGTTCGATTCCAAATCCGGCCTTTCGTTTTTTTTTTCTTTTAATTTCTCGTTTTCTCTCGCATTGTGTATTATCTTATTATCTATGTTTATGACGTCAAAACAAATTTTTTATTGTTGAAATTACCCCACTTTCTTGAAAAGGTGAGAATACGCTCTTCATTTATTTAAAAATATAAAACCTTCTCGGGCGCCAAATGTCTTTTTTTTAATATGAAACCTTCTCGGGGGTCCCAACTGTCTTTTTTAACAAGATGAAACCTTCTTTTTGTCTATGACACTGTGACTAGTACCTTCTATATTGTTTTTACTCCATAGAAGTTATCACGGAAAAGTAACAAATTTTATAATTTTTCAGAAGCGAGGGAAGTTCTGTCGAAATAAATTTCGACCAATTTTTTTCAATAAAGCTTCATTCAGAGCAAATTGTATTTATTTCCCACAACCGAATAACATTATACATTCAACAAATCTTTAATCTAAGTGCGCCATATCCGTCATCTATTGGTTTCTAAAAACTTGTCTTCCATTCAGAGGTTGTATATTTCTGTTGTTATAAAGCACAGGATTATTCTTGCTATCTTTGATTTTAGTCAAAGCAAAATACTGAAATTAAAAAAAATACATTTCGTTGTTTGAATATTTGCACATGGTAAGTACTCGCCTGAGAAAGCGATATTGCAGAAGTTCCGTTAACCACACACAAAGTTACCATTTCCTCGCATCTGGGCATCGTGGAAGACCCAAAATAACTAAAACACGTTTCATAATTTTTTGGCAGAAAATCTTTAAGAACTATATCGTCATCCAAAGCAACCGGTGCACCGTTCATTTTAGAAGAAATGTTCTGAACTTTGGCAATTATAGGGTCAAAAACGGGATTAGGCTGTTCGGATATCTAGAAAACAAGTCTCGTCGAACGACTCATTCTATAACACAGTTTCATACTTCAAAAAATGCGCTGATCACAGCAAACCCGTCTTTCTTGTACAGAGCGCTGTGAGCATTTCCATATTTTTCAGCGTAGAAGACCATAGTAATTTCTAGAGGGAATCTTTTTTAAGGTTGATTTTTATCTGTTCTGGTGTTCCTGTTTTACCTTTTGTTGTCGATTGTGTGTTGAGATGGCCATTGAAACCCGAATCGAATAAAGGCGTAACGGCCACTCAAACCTCCTCCAGAGATTTCTGCCGGTTTTGAAGCGTCGTCCAAATGTACGACAACTGCAAATTTGTTTTTAAGTAGTTAAAAAGTGGCTGGATTTGATTCAGTTAAACCTGTGTAGTCTTTGTTAAGGAGTTTGGCTTTTACTTTTTTGTTAAATTGTCCGTTTAAGTGTAAAGTTTTGCCTTTTGCTAGTGTGGTGTTTTCGGTGACTATGTTTATGGGGGATTGGTTTTTTCCCTCAAAGCAGAATTTCGCTGGCCATTTTGCTGTAAATATTGCAAGAAACATACATTTTGTAATCAAAGTTTATCTTACCCTGTTCGACATAATTCCACTGGTTAGTATTTTCTGAAAATAGATTTGTTTAAAAAAAAAAAGGGAACATCGACTAAAGAGTTTTTGTACCTGGAATTTCAGCTGTCGCTTGATTCAACGCGAACAAAGCTACAAATACGTATACATGAAAAAATAAAATCAACCTTCTAGGAAACTTGAAAACTTATGAAAAATACAACTGGTTTTACTTACAAGTAAAAATTATGAAGCAAAGTCTCTTCAGGTAACTCATGGTCATTATGTAGGTACTACGAAAATACGCGTTGTGTAGCATATTTATAGGCAGCGATAAAGGGAAAAAAATTAGATGTTTTTTTATTAGTAGGTACAGGTTGAAAAAACTCCATCATTTTGATAGTGAACATATCACACGCATTTCCATAAGCCTCAAAGATACCATAATTATAGGTAAAAAAGGCATACTTATATTTTAAGTGGGATATTCATTTTTGTTTCTTTATTATTATGTATTTACTTGAGCTATTATGATTGCACTAAAACATTAGTTCGATAATAAAAGCCATAATTCATTTTATTCAATGTAATAAACAATAATTTTCGTGAATTTTGTCGCGTCATAGAAAAGTTAGAGCTAAAAATGCCGAATTTAAAAAACTTTGAGTCTTTAAGCAAGAATTTCTAGGGGGAACGCTAGGCGAGAGACAAGTTTGAATTGGGCGCTATTTGTTGCCTTAAACGCAACCAGCAATTCTTCTTTAAATCTACCTGACGCGCTGGGATAGACGACTACCGGACGTGGGTCATTAAGCCGATAATGAAGAATAAGTTCTATTTTTAAACGCTCTGTATTTTTGCTCGGTAAAAATGATAAATGCTAAGTTATATAATAAATGCTCAGTTAAAAAATAAATTCTCAGTGAAAACATTAAAAAATCAAAAAATTAAAATATCTGAAAATTGAAAATCTAGAAATTGATAAGTTCTCAATATTCAAATCCTGAAAAATTGAGTATTGACAATTTAAAAAATTGAGAAATCCAAGGATCAAAAAATAGTAAAATCGAAAAATGTAAAATTTAAAAAAGCCAAAAATTGAGAAATAGAACAAAAGAAAAATCAAAAATTTAAAAATTCGAAAAATTGAAAAATTAAAATATCGAAAAATTGAAGAATTGGGAAATCGAAACACCAAAAAAATCAAAAAAACAAAAAACTAAAATTCAAAAATCCAAAAATTGAACATTCGAAAAGCCAAAAAGTCGAAAAATCGAAACATCGGAATATTCAAAAACTGAAACATCGACAAATCAAAACATCAACAGTAAAGGAGTCAAAAAATCAAAAAATTAAGAAATCAAATTAGACCAAAATTGAAAAATCGAAAAGTTAATAATTGAAAAATTGAAACATTTTTATTTAAATGAAAAAAAATCGGTAAACCGAAAAATTGAAAAATCTAAAAATCGAGAAATTGAACAATCTAAAAATTAAACTATTTAAAAATCGAAGAATTGGAAAACCAAAAAATCTAAACCGAGAACTTGAAAAATCGAATAATCGAGAAATCGAAACATCAAGGAAAACAAAAAAATTAACGGAAAATCTAGAACTTAAAAATTGAAAAACGGAGAAATCGAAACATCAAAAAATGGAAAAATTGAAGAACCGAAATATTGCAAAATTCCAGAACTGGAATACTGAAAAACTGAAAAATGGAAGAAAAATTGAAAAATCGAAAAAGTGAAAAAATTCAAAACTGAAATCTTGAAAAACTGAAAAATGGAAAGAAAACTGAAGAATCGGAAAAGTGAAAAAATCCAAAACTGAAACATTGAAAAATGCAGAAATCGAAAAATTAAAAAATCACAATTGAAGAAATAATTGAAAAATCGAGAAATAGAGAAATGGGAAAATCAAAAAATCAGTTAATCGAAAAATTTAGAAATCGAAAACTTTAGAAACTTCAAAAATTGAAAACTGAAAAATAAAAAAATTTAAAAATCGTAAAACTGAAACATCGGAAAATTGAGAAATCGAAAAATGAAGAAATTCGAGAAACCGAAAATATGAAGAATCGAGAAATCGAAGAACCGATAAATTGAAAAATCCCAACAATATGTCGAAAAATTGAAAAATCGAAATCGAGCAAAACTGAATTTCGTAAAGTTAATAAATTGAAAAACTGAAAATTTAAAAAAAAATCGTATCAAAAACCAAAAATTCAAAAAATCGAGAAATTGAACATTAAAAAATACAAAACATTGAAATCCCAGTAAGTTGATAAATAGGAAAATTTAAAAAACAAAAATTTTAAAAATCCAAGAATTGAACAACAAAAAAAATCTAAGCCTGAAAACTCAGAAAATCGAATGATCGAGAACTCAAAACATCAAAGAAAACAAAAAATCTAAAATTTAAAAATTCGACAAATTGAAAAATCATGCAACTGAAAAATCGAAAAGTCCAGATAGTGAGAAATCTAAAATCCTAAAACTTTAAAAACTGAAAAATTAAAATATCGAAAAATTTAAAAACCGAGAAAACACAATATCAAAAATTTGAAAAATTGAAGAAACGAAATATTGCAAAATTCCAAACCTGAAATATTGAAAAACCTAAAAATGGAATGAAAATTAAAGAATCGAAACAGTGAAAAAATCCCAAACTGAAACATTGAAAAATTGAGAAATGGAGAAATGGGAAAATCAAAAAAATCGGTCTAAAGAGTTTAGACAGTACTTCTCTCGCTATCGGAAACGTGACGACTGCATGCCTATTATGTTTTTTTTTTCACATTATATTTCAAAGCATTCGGTTTTGTAGTTCCTGATTAAATCAATAAAATAAATTTGCGCATTCATTAAATTTTTTTAGTCACCCTATATATCCGAATCCAAAAAATATGAATGGGATGATAAATTACAAGAAGAGACTCATCATATTTTATACAATTTAGACAGGATTTATTCAGCAAAATTTTGAGGTGACGTCATAAATTTTTTAGAGGGGATAAGTAAATATATTGTGATTAAAACGGTCCTGGTTTAATAACAAAACAATATTGTTCGTCTATGAAACAAGCTCGTCTTAGACAAAGTATTCGTAAAAAAAATATGTCGTAAAAAAATGTACGTATGCTGGTCCCGATTGCGATTATGGTTTAAATATTTTTTAGATAATCCTGTCATGGATATAGAAACATTTGTGACAGCCAAAGAGGTTTTTTGAGCAAATTATCTTTGAATTTAGACCAAATTGAAATAGACACTAGGCAACAGGCACATTTGGGCAAAAGAAAGAGAAATTTGGGTTACGGCTTCAAATTTTGGACGTGTAAATACTTAGACCGACTACAACAACAGCTAAAACTGTGGAGTCTTTGTTGTACAGTACAATTAGAGGTAATAGTCATACATACTATGGACAACAAAGTGAGGAAAAAGCTGCCAAGTGTTTTGAAATAAATAAAAATATAAAAACTGAACGGTGTGGCTTGTTTATTTCAAAACAATTTCCTTACTTGGCTGCTAGTCCAGACAGGGTTCTAGAGGATAGGAGTACATTAGTCGAAATTAAATGCCCTTCAAAATCGCAAGATTTGTCTCCCCAAGAAGCAGTAAAAAAAAATAATCAAATTTTGTACATTGACAGACAGAGAATTGAAAGTAAAAAAAATCATGATTACTACTTTCAAGTCCAGGGACAAATGCTTGTTACGGGTATTTCACAAGTTTATTTTGTTGTGTGGACACCCAAAGGAATTAATATAGAAAAAAAAAAACGAAGAAATATGTAAAACGATGGCAGATAAACTTGGCATATTTTACTTTGGCGCATTATTGCTCGAAATAATTGATTTAAGAAGAAAGAGGAACCTGCCTTTGCGAGAGATTTTTTTTAAATAAATAAAATTTGTTTCTATTTTTTTATGTACTTTAATAATTTATTAGGAGTACATTTTTTTTTTCACAAAAAACCAAAAAAATATGATACCTCGCCTAGCGAGTCCCCTTAAAGTGGCCACCACAATTTCCACGTGAAACCCACCCCTAATCGAGCTTCTCTTCGGTGTGTGTGATGGTGATGGTACAAAGAATCTTCTGCTTCGTTTGAATCCTCCTCATGACGTACATGATTTTGAACCGTCCGGACCAAAACGGCGTGTTATAAACGAAGTGGTCCACGAAGGGACGTCTGGTCCAGGTGAAGTTTCCTGCGGGAATGGGACACTGGAGCGGCTCCTTGAGTCCCGCCGCTTTCATCAGCGTGTTGTAAGTTGTGCATGGGTTTTTGACCCATGGAGTCGCAGGCAAGTGCAGCCACCCTCCGTCACCCCATCGCTCGGTAAAGATGGCGTTTTCGGCCGTGTCGTCGATGGGTTGTAGGAGGGTGAAGTCCAGAGTGACGGCTTTATGGGTGCGATTGAGGCGATCGATCCTGTAAGCCCTCATCGGGACTTCCAGTTGGTCGTTATCTGGACACAAGTACCCAGTTTCGGCGCTCATGGTGTATTTATTTACCTGGCAAAGTTATTTTGTGGACTTGTTACTTTATTCCAGAGATAGAAATTTACTTACAAAAGCACTTAAAGTAAATTGAATTAAACTAGTAACTAGCACGAGTAATGTAGGACTCATTTTTTCGTTTTTTGTGATTATTAAAATCGTCGCGTGCTATTTATTGGGGGTTTCATAGATCAAATCGTACCAAACAAGTGCTTATTATTTCGTGATAAAATAATTTCACTAATAGTGGGTTCGAAATGTTCTTTGTTGTTTGCTGTACAAATAAATTTAATTATATAGAAGATTTCAAAAAGCATCCGCAACACGAATTAAAACACTTCTGCGATTTTAACATAGTAGACGTGGCACAAAATGACCTCCTTCGTTTTACTGTCCACGTACTGCAAGCTGAACCGAAACCGCCCATTCCAAAACGGTATGTTGATTCCAGAGGTATCTATAACGTAATCCCTCAGCGAATAATTACCCTAGAACAAACCATGACCTTCGAATTAAGCAAACTCTAGCGCTCTTACGGCCGGAACGGGACACCGATCCGCATGTCCAACCCCAGCTTTAGTGTGGAACGAAACCCACGCCGTCTTGAAATACGTCAACATGCTCTTGCACATGTCCGGCTGAAACCCAAGAAACGGCACTTGTTTCCACCCACCGTCGCCCCATCGGTCGATGGTTACGCACCCACCGACTTTTTCGTCGATGGGTCTGTCGTACGTAAAGTCGAAATTGAGAGCCCGCTGGGTGCGATTGTAGCGGACGTATTTTAGGTTTCTGATGGGGTTTTTGA